TGAACAAAGACATTAAAGAGTTTATTTATTTATTTTATTTTAACACATAGATATTGGTACAAGGAGGCACCAAATACATATGCGCCACATAAATCATTCGATTTGTGTGAGGGCTGTGATACTGTCCGGGTGCCCAGACCGAAGCAGGTGGTTTTCTTAGGGGGCCACACCCCGAGCCTTTGACCTTAAGGTCTGCGTCGTAAGGAGATGCAGTCCCATGGTGGCCAGTGACCAACGATCGGTTCATACGCCATTTGTTCCTGCAGGATACTGGAGCCCATGTGCACCATTGATTTGGAATCCGGTTAAAGCCCCGGACATTCGCTTTTCGTCCTCTCAATTTCGTAAACAACACCACTGTTGCGAGAAGGTAGTGAGTAGGATTTCCCCGGCAGAGGCTGTATACGCGTGGCCATGTGAGAGCATTTCGAGAGGGAGAGAGGGCCCACCCCACTCTCGGCTATATCAGGGCATTTGGAGGCTAAAACTGAGAGCCAGTCGCCTGCCGGAACCCGGGAGATTGAGTTTATAAGACAACAATATTGGGCGATCAAATATAGAAGTAATTATCTATCTTAACCTATCGACTTCACTAGCTCCCTTATTAATCTATGAACCTTTGATAAATTGATTTGCCTGCACATTTACTATAATAAAAACTCGTTCATTCAAGTGTTATTCACAAGCTGTATAGCGCAAGGGACTAGAATTCGATATCTTCAACATTATCCTTTTCCCTGTAGGATGACAAAAAGAATTAGTTGGAATATTTATTTCTTAATGTTTCTTTTTTATTGATTTAAAACAATGTTTGTTGTTGAGGTCACAAATCTAAAATGATATGATTTTATTCTACAAACTTTGTCATTTCTCTCTTGAACAATCAAATTGCTCGGATAACTGCTTTTTTTCATGAAACGAATTCTCAAAAATTCCAAATGAATAATAATCATTGGATAGAATTACTGATCCACTGAATTATTGCTTATGTGTAGTATTGAAGATTAAAACTGTTATTTATGTGAAAATTATTCAGTTGATACTGACTGTATGATTGATATTGGCTCTATGAAACAAGTGATTAATTATTCTTAATATCGTCCCCGTCATATCACCTCACTAATCCCGTGTCTAAACGTGAAAAAATTCTAAACAAATATGCACGAATCGATAGGCAGATATTTCCACTATGATTCGTTATGTTGGTATGCGTTTTGCTCTCTTTAAAATTGAATAATTTTCCTTCGTAATCTTACGTTACTATAATTGTATTATAATAAGATGGAAAAGTTAGATTACAAAGAATGCCCTATGAAGATGACCAGTATATAAATTTGATTAGAATAATCCAAGTGTTATCATCTTCAATCACATACTTCATTAGCTTGGTCATATTTTACTAATGTTATCTCGGCGGATTCAATATCACATATTATTTTACTGACGCCTGAACTGAGTGGAAAAGCGGAGATATTGTCAGTGTATGACATGGTTCTTAGTTATGCAAAAAGCTGTACAGGAATGACATCTATCAGCCCACCACGGCTTCCGGGTTTGGGTCCTCAAAATGGACAACTTAATCTCGTAAGAAAATATAGTTAAGGGCGGCCAAAGCAAAACTGGCACCAGTGCTTGAAGCCACTAACTTCCAGTCTTAGACATGTTGGTAGATGCAGACTACTAGATTGGGGTCCGCGTAACCAATGGTTGGAGACTCTGTGTGACATGGCTCAGGATCGATCACAATGGCGTAGGTTTATACACTCTGTCTTCCCTTAAACTATGAGATTAAAATCGCTTCATATCTTTCTTTCTACGAAGTAATTCTTTCTTCCTGTACTATATCTTTATTGCGATCTTTCTTTTATATATGATCACCTCTGAATTAACTACTTTTATGAATCTGGTGTTCATCTTGCTGTGCTAATGAGGTCTGGCATCTAGGACCGATGCATATATATGCCTAGTCCTACGTTGTAACTGACTGACTGACTTAAGAAAATCTCATAAATGATTCAGAATAGAAGACAGTGGCGATCCTACAGTAGCTTTACGCTACACTATATATAAAAGCGAAGTGAATTTTGTCGAATGGAAGAAACGTCTGTTGGTTTCATTTTCAATTGTTTGATATATCTTATTAAATTTTTTTTTCACTTATTTATCCATAGCCTGTACTATCCATCTACCATTTGTTTCTTCACAATATTATTGTTTCGTTCGGTGCCCTATTATTGTACCACGGTTTTTACGTAGGTTGAATAAAGCAAAATAAACAAATGATTAAAATTAAAAATTTTCGTTTTTTCATCTGATTTAGTAGAATACTTGATTCAAACTTAAGTTCACTTTTCAGTCAGATGATTTGTAGCACTATTGTTAATGTGCATTATCTCAAACTGACATCAGCTGAGAAATTATTGAAAGCAAGAACGAGTATGAAGGCACTAAATAGCTATATTTAATACAAGTTTTTTTGGGGGGGGATTTGTTAGTTGTACACATGTAATCAAACTATCCCTCATCTTTATCAATAGCGTACTAAATAAAATCCTCAACTGTTAGACATCACAGTGGTAAGCACAATATTTTTAAGTTATCTGTATGGGTTATGGAGATTGTTGAATTTCATTGAAATTATGAACTGATCATTTAATACCTGTAAGCATTGGGCATCCGTTTAATGCATGTTAACTGGGTTTTTTTCTTATTGAAATATCTTCTAGAATTTCATCATACTTTATTGAAACTGTACTGATTGTATTTCAATATTACACTTTTTAATCAATTGTACTGATTTTGAACTACTATGTTCAAATTGAATAACTATCGTCTCGTTTCTGTGTGTTAAATCACCATTCTGCATAATATAATGAAAGATAAATGTTTGCGTGTTTGTCTTATTTAACCAAGATATTCCTAATCCATACTGTAATCGTGCATGCTTATTTACGTTTGTATGTGTTTGTACTGTACTTTTATCTATGTGTTATACTATCATTTGTTTTATTTAAAAACTAAATGAATATAGACGTGTCTATTATCTCTGTTTTAATTAATTTGATAATTCAATTTATAATTGTTTTATTTCAAATTGAGATCATGAACCCATTGATGTTAGACCCCTATTGAAAGCCTGAAAACAGTGCACGGCCATTTCGTCCTATTGTGGGACTCCTCAGCAGTGCTCATCCACGATGCCGCTCTCGGGATTCGAACTCTGGGCCTTCGGTCTCGCGCGCGAACGCTTAACCTGTAGACCACCGACCTGGAATCCAATGGTGTTAATGTTTAGCTTTAACCAATCCACGAAATTGCGCGGCCATTTTCCGTTGTACTGAAGGAGATACCTGCCTCTACCTGACATGGATTAGCTCCACTGGTCACGGCTTCTCACTAGAATTTCGAAAATTCTTTCACGAAGCTAGTCAGTAGTGAACACATTGTAATTATCAGTATGGGGTTGTGGAGATTATTATGTTTTTGATTGAGATCATGAACCGATTTATGTTAGATCAATATTGAAATCCTGGAAACAGTGGACGGTCGTTTCGTTCTATTATGGGACTCCTTAGCAATGCTCATCCACGATCCCGCTCATGGGATTCCTGTTTAATTATATGAAAAATCAATATTAGTCGATATATAATAATCGTAATTTGAAACTAGTACAAATTGATTGGTGACTGAATTTTTTTTGAATTTGTCCCATTGAATTAGTCATATGTTGTATTACGTCACCATTCACCGAGATTTGAGTGGAGTGAAAATTTTAACATAGAATTTAAATCAGAAAATGAAACTAATCAACTATATTATAGTAAGTGTGAAGACAGGTTGGGGCAACCAAATACATTTTAGTACAAAATAACTGTAACTGTCTTACGTCACGGTTGCAAAACGTGGTCTTTCAAAGTAAATTATTTTCGTAGGTTGATGTTTTTTTTAAACATAGATGCCTTTTATGCATTTCTTGCGTTTATTAGAATCGTCGAGCTAGTAATGATGAGATTAAGCGCAGAGTTTTAGGTAAAAATGGCAAATCGATTTATAAGATGGTGATTCTCCATAGACTTATATGGTTTGGACATCTGTTACTTATGCTCAACCACCATTTATCTCGATTAACTGATGTTGAAAGTCTATACATGATTATTTCAGTCATATGTGTGTGTGCTACATTCATAGATTAAATGGTTACTATTATGGTGATATTAAACATCTGTCTGTTTGTGTAGACATGACCGTAGTATCCAATATAAATAATATTGGTCTACGCTAATTAACCTCATACCTCTATCACTAACCTGTAGTTGTATGTGTGTTAAAATAAATAGGTGAGTTGTTATGTCCTTGTTTTTAAAATTTATCATGTCTATACTTGTGGATAGGTAACAACAAAATTAAAATTTTCTTTACCGATCTTTATGCCAAATTAACATTTGTGCTTTATATAGTTGAATACTTTCTTTGATTTAAAATGGACTAATTGATTATCATTATGTTTCATTATACTTCGACATACACACATATAAACATAATAGGGTTAAAAGAATTGATTTTATCTACTTTGATATGATATAATATGTGCGCTAGTTATTGCATAATTCTTAATTCTTTTTGTACTCTAATCGTCAATAGGTGTCATAATGTCACACTCCTCTGTCATAGACACCAACTTATAATTGTTATATTACACGGAATATTTATCTGAACTCTACGATATTGTCGTGTGTTATATCATTATTAATAATGAATGATCGTGAAGTCTGTGAAAATATATGTGAAAAGAATTGTTGATCGGCAGATAATGTGTAAAATGTTACGGATATAGCCGAGCGATAACTGTTCACAGTACTAAATTACTGTTGCAAATCCCCAATTGAATTGTGTGATGACTGCTTGTCAGCAGGATACTTTCTTCCTTGACCAAATTTTATGATTTTATACGAAACGCTAAACACAAAAGTAAACGTTATTAAAGGTGATTGAAAAGTTCAGATTTCACAGGTCACTCGCAGGTGCCAATGAGATTTGGACCCAATTATCAGGCTTAATTCTTGTTTGTAAGTAAGCTTCATCATGAACTGATCTCATATGGATAATCAATTAAACTTTATAACTACTGGACAGTCGTTTTTCTCCTTAGATTTTAATTAAGGATTTCCCAACATCGTTCACTCATCACATCCAAATGAGATCACTTGAAAGTTCTACTCTGACTATAATTATTAGTTTTAGTATGAAATCTCCGACAATTAAGTTAATCAATATCACAGATTGATTTACGTTATAATTGATAAAGTTTAGGTGTTGGGGATTCAATAATGTAGTCCTAGCTACGATTCCACATTAGATAGTTGGTAAACATTACTAAAACGTCGTCTGGTTCTTATGCATCAAAATTAAATAAATCCTTCGAGATTTTGGTAGTCAATAATTCACCCCCATGCTTTACTTTGGAAGTAAATGTCTATTTGGTTTATTGATTCGTGCTTCTACTCTCGAATTTTTTATTTTTGAGGTCCATAATCGTCAATTATTCCTCTCGGATTCTCTTTGTTGTTATAATGTTTGAATGTTACATAATTGTCCTCAGTTTTACAACGAAATAACTCGACAATCAATGTGGTCTATATATTTTCAAGTTGACCACCACTGCTCATGGATTTCATCCAAAGAAAAATATGTATTTCTTCTCTGAAGAAGTAACTCATGAGAATATTGCACAGATACTGTCATACTGTATTTTCTTACCTCAAGTTCACGACAGTCAATGTATTTGCGCAACAATTCGTTCAAAATAAGGTTAATGCATAAAAACATTGTTTTTCTAAATGAAAACATATTTTTAAACATTCATCTAACCTAAAATCGAATATGCTTTGCTTGAAAAAAGAAAGTATTTTAGCTTAGATTCACTCCATCATTTTCATTTGTACTTTATTTTACTAAAACTATGACTTAAAATATCATTTCCATAGAGAAGTGAAAATACTAAAACTTATTGAGCACCAAAGTACTCTTTCTGTCTCGTCCAGTGTTCTTCAGGAAAGCGTTTCCACGATACCACTTCGTATGAAACTGGACACTTTCATTTCACTTATGACCAAAATGCCTTTTAGCTGGTTGTTCCGGTTAGCGTATTTTTGAGCTAGGTTTTTTTCGGAATAGAATTGTTAGCCCCGAGCCAACCCCTTCTTTATACGTGCTTAGAACCAGCATTAATACTTTTGATTTCTGATCTGGAAAGCAATAATCAATACTTTCGACTTCGAACTTGATCTAATCGATTTTAGTTCCAGATAAAACTTACCTTTAAGAAATTCAAACATTTTGACAGAAGCACTTCTCAAAATAGTTTAATCATTAAGAAATACGGTCATATATTTTGATCCTGTCATCTAGCAGTTTATATATTCCTTTTTTATAACTGCTTTATCATCCTGTTTTTGTATACCGACTCGGATCGAACCATATATTTCAGAATCTCCGTTACTTATGACTACTAGCTAACTTTTGTGCTACAAATTGAAGTTGTTCTTTATTATCCACACTTTTTAAATATCTTATCATCTTTTACATGTATTCAGAAGACACAACTTTCAATTTCACACATAATCAATCATACTTTTCACAACTGTCAATCTTTATTTCATTTTCGGACTTTTTGTACATTATTTCATGTTTCCTATTTTTATTTTATAGATGCTTTGTCTGTGATTAATCGATTTCTAGATGATTCCACTTTTGTCACCAATCATCTAAAAATTGATACGAATGAGAGCAATAATCCTATCACTGATGACAAAGATTTAATTTTTCTGCGTAAATATTTGAAACGTTCATCTTTACGTCATTGCTTCAATGTAAGTAATGTCACCGTCGCGTTGTTTACTCTGTTTGCTTTTAATCAGAATTCAATAATACCTTCGCTGACGGAATGTGACTTTAGCAAAAGGACCATTGAAGACTAAAGAGTACTAGACAGGTGTGGTTTCCTAGTTTAAGATTCACCAGCAGTCAGTTAGTTATAATCAACTGAGAGCCTAGAATATATGTGTGTTGCCCCAAGTTCTCGAATTAAATTAGTATGCTAAGATGAAATTAGCAAATGGAGTTATATAATCTTGTAGCAATCATAATTGGAAAGACTAAAAATTGAAATGACCCCATTGAAAGGTAAATATGAAGGGATACTATAGCCCATGATCGGAATCAAAGTAAAGATTTGTTATAACTTGTGGGCTGTGTGCCCTGTTAATGTATACGTAATGACACCGCCAATTGGGGAGCAGTGACTTATCGATCGGACGCGTAAACCCGTGTGAGCAGTCTAGATTCCTAATTGGTCCTGCTTTCCGCCTAGCTCAGCCAGTTAATTCCAGAACACCAATCCGAGCCTCTGCAATATGAATCGTTATATTTCAAACATTCTGAGTTTATATACCAATCAAACAGACCACAACGTACCATAAAATAGAAAATAACATTTACAATATTTGGCCAAAAGTGGCTGTGAATGTGGGAGGTAATAATTAATATATTGCGTATAACTTAAGAATGGTAAAATGTATAATAATAGTTTATGGGTCAAAATAGAGCTTATAATAAGAGGAATATGAATATGCACAGTTTAGTTACTTAATAATTATAAAATAGAAATATACGTTTAGTATTGATCCATAAATGGATCCCCAAAGTTACCATTCATTATTCTTGTCGGGACATAACAGGATTAAGTGTAGTTATTGTAATCGGTCGTCAGCCATCTCATCCAATGTCTTCAGCCTCTAATTGCAGTTATAGTGAGAACCCCAGTCAGGTAATCGTTGTCCACCAACCTGCCTCTGACTAAAATGTGATGACTTTACGGACAGATGTCAACTGTGCACACTTATAAACCACTAAATTAAAATTCTATGATTTACATTTATAGTTTCGATGCCCAAAAACATCCATTCTCTTTGATGATACCTGTCTCACTAACTGAAGTTATATATATGAAACATTGAATACAGACGTAGTGATATTCTTAGATAATTAAACTGAAATGCATATTTGTCTATATTTTCAGCTTCAGTCAGTTTACCTGATATACAAAAATCACAATCCAGTACCTTCTAGTGTATGTTAGTTCATGATGCGAACTATAGAATTCAGCAAATCTTCCAAAATAGCTTAACTGAACGAGCCATTTACTTTAGACGATAACGCATTGACGTTTGGATTGATGACTATTATTTTCGAATTTCAGAATAAATATCGACTATACGATGCAAGTGGATCAAGTTGACGAGCGCCGAATATGATGAAATGCTCGTCCTGGCGTCCATCGCCAGCCCCAATCCTTATATATATTGACTGACTGACTGATATACTAAAACTGGAATCAATCATTATTGAGCTATTATAGCATAATGCCGTAACTTTTATGAATATATATTTAGTAAATATAAATGTTTATGCCTGTTTTCACTCCAAATATCATCTAGTTAGTTGATTGTATTGGTGATAATGACTCAAAGTCAATTATTGAGCGATTACGACCTCCTCAGCAGTTATTAAGAAATAGTTTAAAAGTTTTATCAGAATTATGGTCTGATTTAGAAGAATTTGTTATGCGTACTCGAGAAAAAGATCAACCACATGCTCATGAACTTTACGACCTACTGGCTGATATTCATATTAGAGTAAGTGTTTTTTTTGTTTCTTTTCATATGGATGTTTATTGTGTTAGTCAACATTTTTGTTGGTAGCATATATTCAAGATCTGGAGTAGAATGATGCCTTTCGTTAAAAGTAGTTGACAGAAGACACTATTCCTAGGTTTCATGCTGGTTTGCGTTCATCAACAAGATTTATCTGTCTTATTGAAAGATTCAATGCCCTCATTTCCTAATATCACATTCATCGACGTTGCTGTTGATCTTTTCGGCCTACTGCTTGGCTGGACTATTAGTTCTTTTATTAATGATAAATCATAAGCTATACGAAATCTATGTCCAGAACATTCTATCATCTCCTTTCAGTGTTGTAGAAGCAAATAAATAGCAACGTGTTATTGGAGTGGTCACCTAGCCCAGTTGATACACAACAACTTGATTAATGTAGAATATAGTCAAATTTATACAATAAATTACATAATATCGGTTATCCAGTAACAGATTAGTGTAGAATAATCTCCTCTCCGTTAGTAATGCAATATATATCAGGTTTATTTTGTCGATTGTATTATTATTATTTTTCAATGAATTATGTTACGCTGGTATATTTTTTCTCTGAATTACTCCAATATATTGTAGGAGTTATTGGTAGCTTACGATGATATTGCTAATTATCGATATGTGAATGAAGATTTCAATTTGACTATTATTCCTTTCGAAGTAAGTCTTATTATGAATAGTATATTAATAACCATGATAGAATCTATACCTCCAATAATATTTGCTTTTCTTCGTTTCTTTTAAGAATAATGATCAATTATTATGTAAGAATTCTGATGATAATCTCCTCAATGTACAGAACTCATCAAAAGTAGGGGTAGGGACAGAAGAAAATGAAGAACATTATAAGTTATCGAAACGAAATGACGAAACTCACTCCATGAATGTTCATCTGAAAAATCCTCATCATCATCATCATTACAAACCTGATCTATCAGAAAGTTCCATGGAATCTTTAGATTATAAATTAAATCATACAGAATCAAATAGAAATTCATGCAATAATGAAGATGATTTACTTATAAAGAAAAATCTTGAACAATTAAAAACTCATTCAGTTCCAAATGTTTATCATGTGAATAAAATCAATACTTCGCTTGATGTTGATGACAATCCTCCTCTTAATGATAATATTGAAAATGCTCAATATGTGAATAAAATAAATCATTTGGATAGTGATAGTAAACACCAATTTGATAACTCACATCGATCTGTTTCTGAAATGATTAATCAATTTGAATTATCAATCGGGAAAAATGAAATAAATTATTCTAAGGATAAAAATGTTCATAAATCACTAGAATGTTTAGACCGAGTAACGTCATCTATACCTTCGGATACACAAGTAAGTTAATCATGGTTTATTTTGGTGAGAGGGATTTCTTAATCTTCAAAGAACTATTATTATAATTTTATTTATGAAATGTATTAAAGTGTATCAAGTTTGAGGTGATAAAATGATATTTTAAGCGTGATTTGTGGAAAATAAATACGTGAGCTAATGCTTTACGGTTAAAGCATTTGACTTCCAGCTACTTACTGACAGTTTCAAACTCTGTCCAACTTACATTGGTATGAGTAACCAGTAGGCATCCCTGAGTCCCCTTTTCATACACAATAAGATTTGACTCAAAGATAAGTGTATAAACATGTACGTGGTGGATGAAGTTGAATTATATTGTTTATTTTATATATGAACTCTGGAATGTGTTTGAAAACCTTCGATAATCCCCTCAGAAAGTTTCCGAATTTCAGGAGAATGCTAACAACAACAGAGATTATCTTGTTCACGACTGAAAGTTATGAAAATACTTTGAGCAATCACCGTTCTGTAGAATTCTAGAAATCGACTGGTAGTGTTGCCACCATCTAACTGGACAAATACTGATCTCGTTACTAGTTTTACAATATTTTCCAGACGTTTCTAGAAATCTTAAGATTACCATTAATATTATGAATACCTTTGCTTTCGGAATATCAGCAATTCTTGGAAGCAACATTCCCTCTATACTTTCCGACTTTTATTTTCTATTCAGAATTCCAACACTAGAAGATTTGTGACGACTAAGAAGTGTTTAGTAGTCTGACGTTAGCTCGTTCTTTGACAATAAACAAGATCTTTCATTTATAGACTAAGTAAAAATAGATTTGTCTGAAATATGTTAGGTGTTTGTACGGTTAAAATTTTTTTGATAGACTTTGAAACCAGGTGTCTAACTTTAGTTTTAAATATCTTAGACTAACCATATTTAGGGTATAGTATATTGAACATCTGTTAATCAGACAATTTTTGTTTAAAACTATATTCTTAAGGAACTCAATACGTCAAGTAATTTTGGTGCTTTTTATTAAAACATACTATCATTCATAATTTTGCTGAATTTCCCTTCATATGTAGTAGTAACCTCATAACCTCACAATTGATTGATCACTGGGTGGTGATCAATGTCATGCTTGTCTAGTCCTTATTAGTGCAGATCGAATGCTATCGATCATGTTGCACTGTGGCCACCAGTCTAGGTGACTCGACACTGCGGGCATTATGTATTGAGATTTAGATGGTGGTTGGAGGTAGTCAACAGGAAACCCTGGACCCGGGTTTCATGTTGACTACCTCCAACTACCATCTAAAACTCATAACCTGTTCAAGAAAAACAGCGTCCATCTCCTCGATCAATAAATGCACTTTTTAATTTTCAGAGGGGGTTTGTGGAGATTTTAGAAATTTCACAGACTGGAATCATGAATCAGTTGAAGCTAGACCACCATGGAAAGCGTGGAAGCACTGGACGGCCGTTTCGTCCTAGTATGGGAATCCTTAGCAGTGCGCATCCATGATCCCGCACTCGGCGAGATTCCAACCCAGGGTCTATTAGTCTCACGCCAAGCGCTTAACCAACTAGACCACTGATAGGTCCTGGGCTCGAATCTCGTGGGTGCGCACTTCTGAGGAGTCCCATACCGGGACGAAACGGCCGTCCAGTGCTTCCAGGTTTTCCATGGTGGTCTAGCTTCAATTGATTCATGATTTCGCATTTTGTAATTTCTTTTTTTTACAATAGAAAGGTATACTTTTGCTATGAGTTTTCGTTATTCAGTAAGCGATCCACAAGTCACTCATACTCCATAAGTGAGCATTTCTGAGCCACATTTCAAATGCTAAGTTTACTATTTGTTACTGTACTTTGTAACCAGAAAATTTAACTTCTGTTTTAGGTGTGTATTTTTAGTTGTCACTTTTTGGTTGTACATACTATAGAAGGATATTTATTAAGGACTTGAACTGGATTAATAAGTAGTTTTGACGTTCTAGGAGAATGACTGTGGAGCCCAAACGACAGCCGCTTGTGCCCAATCTTTTTGATATGTTGGCTTCCTACTTTCCAGACCCTACCAAAACCAGTTGGCTTCTCTAGGACTAGGTGACGTGTGTTATTTTTACAGCCAATCTTTTTGAACCCTACTTCAGTTGTGGATAGACAGGATTGCTAAAGATGCTGGTTATCTGTGAGAAACATTTCATGTACCCTAGTTTTGTTGATTTCGGTCTTATCGCTCTCTAACCGACACACATGACATAGTAAATCTTCAAGGAATCAGTCTGAATTATTCCTCACAAATTTGTAATTATTGTATAGTTTGACACGACTCACTAGTAACCAAGTTCAAGTTTGTTTACTCAGTCTTTAGCCATACCTTCTTACACAAGATCAAATAACATTAAAATACTGCTCAAACCAAAACAGATGCCGAAAATTTTGAATCTGGGATCTGATGATTGTAACTCTATTGCCATAAACCATGGCTTTTACTTCTGGAATAGTCAATTATTTTCATCTGTCTTTATGAAAAACCAAAAAATCAGACATTTACCATATTCACAGTTCAAAGTGGGAACGACTCAATTAGAGTATACATACTTTTGAAATTATCCCATAGGATGGATTTAGAAAAACTATTAACAGCACAGTGTGTCATCTATTTGACACATTAGGTCGAGTTGGGAATAGCACTAATGAAACTATGATTAGTGAAGAAATAGGTCAAACTGATATAAAATCTTAACTGATCGTTTGTATTGTTTCTGACTTAGACGATCAAGGATTTAATGGAATAAGTTTGTTTCATAAGAAAATATTGTTCAAAATGTCTTCATTGAGGCGGTGGATCAGTAATTAATAATTGCAAAAAATATGAAGTGTTTGAAAAATTCACAATCTGTAATGAGGTTGAGATAAATAAATCTAATTAGATGGTAAAATTTACTGGTGTAAACCTTGAAATTTACCTGATTAGCATTTTTAGCAAGCTTCTTTTCTACGGGATAGGGTTGCTAACCTCATGCCCAACCGTTCTCCTTTATCCGGGTTTGGGACAGGCAGTAACTCTAGAGGATTTCCAGGTAAAGTTTATACTGGTCAGTAGTGTTGCAATATTTTTGTTTGAACTCGATCCGGCCGCTCAAACCTAATTACCTGTTGATTAATCGGGTTCGAATCAACAACCAAACCGAATTCCTTAATTACCTAACAGCCACTGTATATATTATTGATATTATTTTGTATGGAACTGCTTAAGCATACTAACCTACATTCCACTACGTCATATACTTTGATTCAAGTAACTGAATAATATTTGAAATCTTTATATCATTAAAATTTTAAGCTGTAAACTTTTATTGAGTTAAAAAGTTACATCACTCAATCTTACTAAACTACTTATTACTTACTTACTTACTTATGCCTGTTGCTCCCAATGGAGCATAGCCAGCCGACCAGCATTCTCCAACCCACTCTGTCCTGGGCCTTCTTTTCTAGTTCCATCTGGTGTCTCTTCATTTGCGGATAAATCTTTCGCCTTTTACTAAACTACTTATGCATTCATTTATTTATAACAATCAACTCTATTTTGCTTTATATATTTTCTTCCGATAATTTTAATTAACTACTGAAATTTTCTTATTGAACTATTGATGAGAGGAGTTTAATTGTTAAAACATTCGTTTTCATATTCAAACCCTACTCCATGTACTTTGGTTTAAGCAATGAATTGTTAGTATCGCTAGCTATCTTATCTAAGTGTCTAACTTAAAGTTGAACACACAAACTTATGTGTTATATTTTTGAAGTATTGGAAGATCTTAATTACAATCTGGATTCGTGTATTATATCAACTTTTTTTCTTTGTTTATAGAAACCTACTCCAAAAACTATTCCTGAAACTGTTAGTAGGCAGTCTGAGAAGAGACATTCTAAAACTTCAAAGATAAAATCACCAGATGATTTGTTTACTAAAACTAATTCCAATTCAAAACATGGTAGTCCTACTATTACTTCAAAGAAAACATCTACAACAAAAGAACAACGAAAAATAAAAAAATTTCATGGTTCAGATAATACCTTACGCTCATCCGATTCTAATCATCATCACCATCCCTCTAAGCCTTTTCGAGATTCACTTGACGGAACACAAAGCTTACCCAGAAATCATGGTCAAACACCTAAAGAATTAAAAGATAATCAGAATTATCATCATCGTGAAAGTATTCATCCGAAATTTCCACAACCAGGTGTACCAAGAGTTGTTCATTTAAGACGTGACCATCCTGGTGAAAATTTAGGTATTACTGTAGCATTATGTACACCATCACCGACTACTTCTTCATCACCACCAACAAGTTTCAATGGAATTACCATACAGTCAGTAACAGAACCGATTATATCTATTCAAAGAGTATTAGCAGGTTCATTAGCTGATAGACAAGGTAAGAACTGATGAATGTAAACATTTATTACATCTTAAAATTTCTTTTGTGTATAAAACTTCAAATTATTATTATCTGATGGGTAAATTTTGATGTGTGTGGTGCTGGTTTTTGACTACAGATGTCTTCAAAGTAATGCTGCCATATATTGAAAAGATTGAGTGAACAATGCTGTGGTTTGGGCATTTGGTGCTGATTGAAGATAACGAATGGATTTACGCACTTGTAAATTTTCATTGATTATTGCAGTTGGGATATGTACTACATATGCCCGACTACTTCATACCACTACTCGCTATGTTAATTGATGTAGTTGGAATTTGGAAGGAAGAGAGGGAAGAGCAAATGAAAACGTGGCAACAATCCATCAAGTCATTAACTGTTTATCTTACCTGTGTAAGTAGACGCAGCCTGACTGATATTTGCACGATAAATACTGTCAATATTTAAAGGCATTGGATAAGAGCTCAGAAGTGGTCACAATATTCCTTCATACATATCCTCCTTTAATTTGTTCTCCTCGAACCATTTTATCAATTTTTGGTATTTATTATTAAAATTGTTACTTCATTATTTTGATTTTTTGCTGATCCTCATTTCGTGGAACTATGGTACGACATTTTGAGCTAACACGTTTGTCTCAGGCTATATATTAATGATGACTGATTGAATCTAGTCTCGAAGCGATTCCACATGAAATTAAATCCATGATTTTCAAGTTTCGCGCCGAACACAATTTTTTATAACCTCAACTAAGTCGAATACCATAAACTCACATTTCTAAGTCTAGACAGTTTTTCACATACAATATTAACAATAATTACAATTGTGCTATTGAACTCTACCAACCACAACTTCTCATTGAAACCTTAGGGGATCCATTTTGAAGTCAGTTTTCGGTGTGAGTTATCAGGGTAGTAAAATAAATTTTTCTACTAAAAATAGGTAACAAATTTCTATTTATACTACAATTCTCACTGTTATATTTATATTCAACCTATTAATAATTGTATGTTGAGATAGTTGTTTGTCAATTTTTCAGCTTTGTTTTGCCCTAGTTAATTTACATGCAGATATGCGTGCGCTCACACACACACACACAAGCAAACACATACTTCTTGCATAAATCATGTATACTTCACTATATGTGTATACTGTCTCCTGTTGATTGCTTAACAAAACAAAAGAAGAAAAAAAAGCTAATATAAATGTTTTTGGATAGATATTGTTCACATTTAGAATAGAGAGTTTATTTCCTCGATTGAACTTTACCGCCTTTCTTAAATGTTTAAGTGTACATGTGTATCACTGTTTGTATAAGCATGTAGATATTTTAATTTAAACGCATAGATGATAATTATGCGTTTTTAAGTAAACAATGTATTTCTGTGCATATATTTTTGATATATTGTTAGGTTGATAGAGATGGATAATTATGCAATCGAATGTCTGTTTATTTAATCCAATTTACTTACTGATATAAGTTGTTTGATCATTTGTCTCTTTTCTCTAAAATGTCCTGTTTTGATTTTATTAAAAAAATCGTTATTGAGTATATTTTACATTTCTAAAAAGAATGATCATTCAGAGATTGTTTAGGCTGATAACTGTTTTTGATACCGTCTTCTTTTTCATATTCCCTAAAGTAATCACTTCTTAAATTATTTTATTATACTATTAAGATGGTTTATTTCGGTCGAACTTTTAACATCTTTTAATGCCATTGTCTGGCAATTACTTCACGCTTGACAGTGGTCCAAATGTTAAAGGCTCATTTCAAGACACGAAGGTTCTTGAGTCCGATCTCTGGTGGGGTCTTATATGCCCACTTCTGAGGAGTCGTATTTTAGTGATTTTAATTTTATTTATCTAAAATCATTTCTTGATGTAAACCAGGAAATATTTCACGAATTTGATAAAATTAATTAATCCAATGTTGTTCTCCATTAAAAAGCGAATTCTCCAATTGTTTGAATTCCATAAGTTTGCACACATGTTTACTTACATAATCACTCAACTTTGCTCGTTGATAGCTCATCTCTTTAGATAAAATTAAGTCAGTCAATATAATGGAACTCACTAATTCTGTCTGCCGATTATCACAAATAAACAGTAGCTGTTTTTGTAATACAAATGAAATTCGGTTTGACTCTATAACATTTTTGGCTATATCCCAAAACAAGTCGACTTGTAAACACTAAGCCTAAATTGTAACTATATATATATATATATTTCATACATACATAATGTCACGCTGATTTGTGCTGCATTGATTTTCCGAGTCGTAACTATTATCAGTATATTATTATTTGTGACAGACACGCATATGTTTGGTTATGTATCTGTAGCACACAAATATTGAAAGTGACATTTTTGTAGAAAGTGATTTTCACATATACATTCAAAATAATATTTGATTAAGTAATAGGTATTATTATCATTTCTTTCATTTTACATTACTACACTTCACTACACCTCATCACATCAAGAGACTCGATTTTTGCATAGGTATTAGATGTAGTATTAAGTCTATGTATTTAGATGACCATTGACTTCGATGGTTCTATTATAATGTCTTTGTTCATTGAATCTTGGGTTAATCGATATTTGAAAGTCGAGGCATTGATATTTATTGAATGAATAAAGTAAGTGTCATTGATAAAAGATAGTAGTATTAGGATTGAGAGGAAAGAAATTTGTATACAACTACTACATGTTATTCTACTCTGAAAATGAGGATGTAGCCCGAAAATCTCATTGGTAATGTTTCTGACTGTGAAGCTGAGTGATATGGCATCTACTGGGTAGTATAATTCCCCTTAAGATTGCAGGTGCACGTTGCTGACAAGTGTCAATTAGGTCCAGTGTTTCCTATCGGCTACCTATAACCACCACCTTACATCTCAGTATAGTGCATTGATCTTGATCCACTTAGACTAATGGACACTGCAGCTTGATCAATAGAATTCAATGAACTTAACATGCATAAATTGGTCACTACCCAGTGATCAGTTAACTGTAAATTCTTGTCTCTTGGTATCGAATCGAGTTAAGCATTCAATATTCAACAATAGTCACAAATTCATGGTTCTCTTCATGTTATCCAACTTGTGACATCAAATATTATCTGTCTCATATAAATTATAGCAGAATAGTCGATTTTCAAAGAATGACTTTTAAGCGTTCTCAGTCACCGATCAGGATTCTGATTGTAGGTAACTAGATAATTTTTTACCAACCACCTATGAAAGTTGTTTAATTTTAGATGTATCATGGGAAAACTACCCCAAATTTATCCAATCTGCGCAACCAGCTGGCTTAAATAATAATCATATCCTCGCTGATTGCCAACTCCATATAAAAGGTCGTAATTGATGATGTTCAACCACTATACGATTCAAGTCGAATTCCCTAATGATATTCCACTGCCTTGTGGATCAAACCTTTCGGTCGAAGGTTTCGGGTATGCCCTCCTCCTAATAAAACCACCTGTCTCGGTCTGAGCAGTATCACAGCCCACACATAAATCAAGTGATTTGTGTAGCGCATATTTATTTCGTGCCTCCTGGTACTAATTTTTATATATTTAAAGAAATAAATAATCTCTAGTTAACACTAAATTAAGTAAGAAAATTATTTATAAACTTAGGAAAAATCATAGATAAATGACCTCATTTTAGTTTAGTTTACATATGAGAATGTTTTCCTACAAATTTGTGTTAAGTATTGTTATTGTTAGCAGTAGAATCCAGGACGCGCGTTTCGTCCTGTTTGGGACTCGTCAGCTGGATGTACCTGCTAGCCATTATCCATCATTGCTTACAAAAAGCTTGTGAATTAAGGCAATATCGAGGCATACGCACAGTATGCACATATGCCAATAACAAACTGATCAATTGCAGTCTTAAACCTCAATGGAAAGATACAAGCCAAACAATACCAATTGGATTTATTGTTATTGTTGTTAATGTTCTTTTAGTCTCACAATGAGCGCTTTTGTCTTTGTAATTTATTTGTTTGTTTGTTTTTTAATGATTAACAATTATTTTTAATATCTCTTCTTCTATTTGTTTACCGACTGCAATCATATATGGAATTTAATTAATTTTCAAATAACAACCATGGAAATAATTGAAATTGTTGGTAATATTGTCAAAATTGAATTCGATTAAAACATAATTATAATTATCATTATAGTGTTTGTCCACTATATAAGTTTAAATAGGTGGTGAAGTTGTTGTTAGGCAACTAAAACATTTAAATTTCTAAGTTTGAATCTCTGTTTTATTATAATTGGCTCGTATTATACTTGTTTACCAAGTTTATGCTTTGTCTAATCAGTATGATCTACTTTTGAAAAAAAAGCAAATAAGCCTATATATGGATTGTGGTGTTGTTAAAAATGGTAGTTTATCGTTGAAAATTCCCCGAATAAAATTTTTAATAGACAAAACAATTTGAATATCAAATAAATAACATGTTTTTCTCAGAGATCCCTTCTGTGTCATCCTATTTTTGAAGTCGGAATTCATACTTTCAACTTAACATTTCACTTTCAGTTCACCATCAATGAATCTGGTTAGGAGACTATTTCTATATATATATATATATATATATATATATATATATATATATATATATATATATATATTCGTTGGATTACATTCAGTCTATCATCTATCATGCCATCTGTGTATATCGGTTTGCCCCTTGAGGATATAGAATAGACTAAGTTTCCATACTATTTTTATTTTGTTGACCTACTTCACTGGGTACAAATTTGTATTCTTAACTTTGAATCATATTCTAGATTTGATGGATATGGATACTACTCAATTCCTTATAAAATACCCAAAAAGTAGTTTGGTTTAAATAAAGTTGACATTGTAAAAGGGATTTCTCTCTGAGTGACCATGTAAAACTGTTTTTAGTTAGTTTGCTTTCTTACTAAACCGGGGATAGATTGTAAGTTCTAATTATAACAACCATCAGAACATCTTTCGTAGTTTGGTTGGATTGGTTAAATATTACTTGTTACGTAAACGGCACACCACTTTTCTACGACTATGTATACATGCTGTTAATTCACTATTACTGATCTCTTATTATCTGAATACGAACCTGTTTGTTTCCCTATATAATACGATTTCGCAAAAAAAATCAGTTACAGTCATAACGGTCTTACAGTACCATGGATTGGCTGAAGTTATACATGTACGCCACCAGATTCTGGCCCAGGGATCTAGATTTCAAGTGTCGTGTGAAACCGATGCTCTCGGGTTTAATACATAGTGATACGGTTATAGATGTGTGCTGCCGAAAAGTCCAATACTGGGACGAAACAACTGTCCAACAGTTGTCTTAGATTGGTTCGTGATTTCAATAAAGCCCTACTATCCTGCCTAACACCATACTAACAATAATCATAATCTTCTACTTTTTTTCACTCTTACAAGATAAAAATCTTCGCATCATATTTCATTATATATTACAATGAATACTATTACCTCAATGTTGGTCAATATCATAGAACAAATAATAAAGACTACAGAAGCTTTTTATAAGGAGAAGTTGCAGGCATTTTATACTACAATACTGCATAATATATGACACAATATTATGAAAATCCTTATATCTGATTGTAGATAGACTGTATGTAGGGGAAGAAAGAAAATTTTATGTGAATTAAAAAAGGCTAATGGCATAAAATTATTATTCCCATTTCTAGATAAGACATTATATGGGTACAAAAAAAGGAACATGTGTCTTTTTATTGTATCGCATCCGATCATTTTTCAGTTATGCATAATTAAGTATATACAAATGTATTTTCGAATAAATTGTTTTATTTTAAATAAAAACGATTAGTTCATCGAAGAGTTCTCTCTTCGACGAATTCATTTTCAAAGCTGTACAATTCCAAATATGTATACTTATTTTACAGGATGATAATAATTATAATAATACTGATAACAAACTTCTGTTAGACGTGATGACAGTGAGGTAAAATAAACAAAGTATTCAAAAAGTTTTTAAACAAGAAAAGCTTAATATAATATTCGTTTGATTGTTAATAGCTTAAATATTCATCAAAAGATAGATAGGGAAATTATCATTGAGAAAGGATGGCTCAGCATGATAACATAAAATGTTGAAATTGAGAATAAATGTAATCAAAAGTATCGTAGAAACAGAAATAAACCAGTTGGGGGTAGAAGATGAAAGGGGAAGCAGATGGCTCTAAAGGAAGAAGAGTATGAAGAATGAAAAGGAATAAAGAAATTATAAGACATTAAGATCATGTTAGAAGAAGAGGTTGTACCACACACAATTCTGGTTTTTCCAGGTGTATAGCTATTGCTTCGGCAGTGCAAACAAGATCCAATCTAATTGTCTTTGTAAGACTTTTACTTACCTTGTAGATGACTTTGAACGCAGAGTCTGCCTTGATTGAGTGACCTGTGTTCACAAGGTGTTCGGTTATTGAACTTCTTATTGAGCCGTTTTCTCCTCTTTTTAGCCATGCAGGATAGTGTTCTTGAATTCTTACTCATCGAACGACCTATGAGCAGGTAAATTGGTAAATGCACATTGAGTTGGTCAGATGCGATAATTTATCTTTAAGATTATTAGTAAACAATGATCGGCTGGAAAATACTATTCGCAACGTTGAACAGATTAATCACACTCTACTAATAACCAACCCATCCTGTAATACTGTTAGCAATTTTCATGTTTTAATTTTCTGATCTACTAGTAAAGACTATAAGAAGTTACTTAATTGATAAACCATTTGATCTTTTACTGATACAACTTCACTTCGAGCTAACCGACTGAATAGTATCATTGGCTCTTACACAATAAAAACTAATTGCCCAAAATCGAGTACACTGTTGTTTGTTCAATGAAATATTTTCGCTAAAAAATAATTATAACTAGAAACTCCCAAGATAAACATAAATGTTATGTTACTTTGACAGGAATTATTTTAACAATTTGAATCATTGATAAATGTGTTTGGAGACTTAAAATTAGCAATTTACTTCTATCAGATCCAGCCTTCTGGCGTTCCGATAGTTGACATTTCCCATTTTCTCTACTTATCTGTTCTGTTTCAAATAAAGTATGCCAGAGTTTATAAAGTGTTTTTGTTCTTTTTGAATAGGTGATGTGTCATTTGTTTCGTGTTTTCTGTTTTTTTATGTTTTCATTTTTCACTTAACAAAAAGAAAAACAGACATTATTTCCTTATTTAAATAAATGACACCGTACCGATTTTTTCCCTCTTATTTAATTAATAAATCGGTCTTTTACGAACTAATCATCATTCTTAATCGATAATCTTTACCAGACATAGCAATTATAGATTATGTAAATAAGGTTTCTTGTACGAGTTTTGACATATGTATCTGTTGGTCATTTTACTTTCGTAAATTCTCCTAAATTATTTCAGTATTATCTCATACATTTATGGAAAGGTAGTTTTACAAAAAAGCATATTATCACAGTCTTTTTCTCGCTACCATTCTACACATTTCTATGAGTATTTATTAAAATTTGTTTGTGTTGACAAAACCTCTAATTATTAAGATCACGAACCGACCTATGTTGGACAAACACTGAAAAACTGGAAGCACTGAACATTTGTCTCGTCCTAGTATAGGACTCCTTAGCAGGTGCACAACAATTACAATACCACTGATGATCGAAACCAGGATTTTCGATCTAATGCACAGACACTTGGTCTCTAGACCAATGAGCTGGATTTAGGTGGTGTACATGTCTAACTTTAATCAGTTCGCGATATTGAGTGACCATTTACTCCTTTGAAAAATTTTGAGTAGTTCCAGAGTAGGACAAAACGGCTGTTCAACGCTTTCAGATTGTCAATAGTTTTCTAACTTAGATTGGCTCATGAACTCAACAACCCCCATAATGACAATTCGATTATCATCATTTTATTACTATGTGCTTCATATTACTTGTTTTACGCTGCACTGACCACTGTAGAGATAAACTGTCGTCGAGGTTTCATGCTGAAGAATGCTAGGTCAAACAATAACTAGAATGTCCATCAGATTGGTTGTACGTACTCTGTTATTTTTCTTTGATTTACCTCTTTAAATATAACTTTGCTTGATGAACGTTTGTTTATTATTCAAACTGTTGTACAAATGGAGTAAAGCAACGAAGCTTCGCTATAAAAACATGTCAATGAAGTCTCTTACTTTATTCTAATTAACTGTCGTTGATTGTAACTTCTTAATAGGAAAATTAATCAAGCTCATAAAACCTACTATAACCAGTTTAACATTGGTAAGCCTGATAATACGTGATTAGTCTCCTTCAAAGCCATCGTAAAAGGGTTCAAAAGCCACAAATCAGCAAACTAAATTTAGCACTTTAACTTTTCCTGTCGTTGTACTCAGCCATTGAAGCTCACCCTGCATGGACAATTGGTATCAGCTCCGTAGGTGAACACTTTCAACTATGAATTTTCATCAACTAACATATGTAACGCATGTCCAAGGACTAACTTTCTCGGTGCGCAATACCGGTTACCCTGGGATTGCATTGCAACAGAACTAAAAATGAATAATAAAAATATATTTTTAGTGGTTGAATTCATGAGTCGATTTAAACTGGACCACCATTGAAAATCTGGAAGCACTGGACGGCCGTTTATCCACAATGTGGGACCCCTCAGCAGTGCTCATCCACGACCCCGCACGCGGGATTCGAACCCAGGACCTTTTGACGTTTCATGACTCATTGTAGAGCAATTCTTCAGAGATTCATGTTTATTAATTCTCTATAGAAGTGGCTTACAATGAGTCATGAAACGCCCGTAAATGTAATTTTTCCGCTCAGTGGAATGTTACAAAGATACTGTTTTTATTAATAATGACCTACCCAATGTTTCATTTATTTGAAATTATCAAGGCAAGCCTTGGTGTTAATACCTAAAAACTAAGATTAGTTAAGACATGGGATTAGTCCATTTGGTAATTAACTATTAGATTGGTTTGTTTATGAATGAGCAATCCATACGATAATCGTAATCTCAGTGTGTGTGAGATTGTGGGAGATTTAACTCAAAATCTCCCACTGTTGTGCAGATGTATTCATTTTTTATCGTTGTTATTATTTTATATTTTTAATCCTTTTGTTTGCCTTTGGAATATATTTCTTATTCTCACTAGTCCTTCCAGTTGTAGTACTATTCACCTTATTACTTTTATCTCGTGTTGATTTAATGCAACAGTTTCAAACAATGCACATATTACTTTCTATGTTTTCTCGACTGAATAGTATAACTGATAAATGTTTCTAGAAGGACTGAATAGGTAAGTTGTGTATAGGACGCCATCCCATAATCCAGCAAAACTTTCTTCGAACGTTAAAACCCTTTATATCCACTGTTATGAATAGCTCGATCTTTTTTTTTCATGCTAAACGAACGGAATAATTAAGAACTCACCTAGTGAATAACCCGGATGTAGTTAACACTATTACAAATTAACCGGCTCACTGAGTAATAACTAATCTCAACATCATTTAATCCTTCAATGTTAACCGGATCCTACTGATCGAATTGATCTCACAGGAAATGGTACTTGTATTATGATTTCAAGTACTTCTTCTTGACTGTCGTCTAACTATCAGAAAATCTAGGTCCACGCAAACTTTCTAACCACGTAAAATAGTTTTTATGATCACTTGAGTTCGTGTACTTATTAGACAGTTTGCTTAATTAACAGTATACTTTCCGTATTGCTTTATATTGACTTTTTTCTTTCTTCGCATATTTCTTACCATTTAACCCTATTGACAGCCAAAATTTTTGCTCTTCATTTTGTCTTCTTTTTACCGTTACTATCGATGTGTTTTTTTAGGTTGTTTATTTCCTGGTGATATTCTCCTAGAAATCAACGGTTTACGCGTTCATACATTAGAACAAGTATTTTCTCAAATTCAACAAACATCTAGTTTAATTGATTGTAAACTATTAGTACAAGCACCTAAAGAAGGCGTACTACGCTCTAGTATTCAGTGTTCCAATTCGAATTCAAAGACTAAAGTATGTCATTTATGAATTGATTTTTATGTATTGTGATTTTTCTTTCTTTTACTAATTAAATTATTTCTATATATAATGTATTTGTAATTGTCTTACATTTTTATTCATTGCCATATTTTAATGATTATAAATAGTGAAATGAAATTAGGAATTTTTGACAAAGAATGTATAGTGATGCAAAGTTTATACCACGAAGTGACCTTAGTTAGGAAGCAACTAAGAACCAGAAATTGTTGAACAGCTTTTTTTTGTGCTAATATAGGACTTCTCAGCAGTACGCATCCATGATCTTGCCAGAGATGGGATTCAGTACCTTCAGTCCCTGTGATGGATGTATTTTATCTTCAGACCATTAAGTCAACATCTACTGGATTACATTTTTAACTCAGTCAATTTTGTGATGTTGAACAACTATTTTCCATTCTCATTGGATGACCACTTTTTTGTATTCCATATAATGGGACTACACTGGTCACAAATTTTCACTTTAACTCCAAGAATTACCTTTTGAAATTATTTACCACTGAGCACAATGTATTTAATTTCATTGGAGGTTTATTTCATAATTTACATTACCAACTGTTAAATACAATACCACTCAATAGCCATTTATGAGTTTGCATGCTTTGGTTTTGAGAAATCGGTGCAATGGAGCTTAGCGTTAATCTAATCGGCTTCCAACCCTTTCCCATCATCCTTGTTTTAGTAGCTTGATTATAATACCTATCGCACTTACAAAATCATTTTAGCCGAAAGTTGAATACATAAACTTGTACTTTGTAAACATTATTTTTAAGAGCAATAATATATAAATGACTAAATAGTTTCATTTATCCCAACCATTTGCAGAACGATTCAGTGATTCCCATAAATCATTGTCGTTTGACCTTATCATCAGTATGTCTTATAATTCCCCTAGCTGACTTGTCGAGCTACCATTATGGAGACTTAAAAACTGTACATTAAAATTCGCTTAGTCTCTTAAAATAGCTCATCTTACATTATATACGTGTGTTTTTTTTAATTTGTACTTCATACTAGGCTTCATCAGCCAGTTTCAACTGCGTTAATCATAGAAATACATAATATTTCCCAGATTTGTAGACAATATCCAAAATCAGTGGTTCATTTCTCTATTTCCCTTATACGTTTGACATCTCTATACAAGTTCCTATGTTTCGGTTTATTAAGAACTCGACTGTTAGTTTATATGAGGTAGTATCAAGTTAAAACTCAGTCAGGAAATACTACGTAACGGAATCGATAATTGCCATTTGTCCTTCCGAATTAATGAGTTATATAATCCACAGCGGTCTTACCTTCTGTGTTAGCCAGTCTCCAACTATTTTCTAAAATAAATTGGAATCATCTGTGCATTACTCTTTAGACTGTTTATTACTTTAAGTATTATTTATATCGTGTGACTATATTGTGAATTGATTCCATAATGTTCTTCACTTGTCGTATCAGTTAGTATCTAGTCCAGTTGTGTTCACAACAAAATATGCATCTACACTCAATGACTTCACATTGATGCACTTTCACTATAGTATATAAATGTAAAACACAATTGTTCTCTTTTTCCCTGTTTTCAACTTTCATACCTATACTAACTTAGATCATCAACCATAATTTAATCAGAATTTTATCCATTCATTTTCAATTTATTCAAACAATTCAATCTTAGAATTACTTATTACATCTTGGTATTATATATCAATACTTGCATCCCTCTAAATTAAGATACATTAATTTCTACGTATTCTTTATTCATTTGCATTGTAAATCACTTTTCTAATTACATAATTAGCATAGAAGGAAAAACAGAATTAATTGTTTCACTAAAATATTTTCATCTTATTTAAATATAATTCTTCTGTCCTTCTCATTGATTAGTGAACTTTTAGATTTGTTCATGGTATTTCTCCGTTATTTATTTATCATCGAGGCACTTTATCGAAATTGTTATTTCTTTTTTGAACTTGTGCATCTTACAAGAGAGAGAAAGAGATGAACATATGTAATAATCAATTAGCAGTTGAATATTCAGCATCAATTGTAGCGGGTCAATTTGTTAGGCTAACGACACTGAGCTGGGATACATTAAACTTTAATTTAAAATAACCGATGCACTGACAGCACTGCATTTCAATGCACTCGGTATACCAGTGAGAAGTTAGAGTTGGTCTGAAAAATGTATTTGCGCCATACATTTTGAACAATACGATCACACATAAACTTGTCAAGTCATCTTTTATGAAAGCTAATCAAGCTCAATTTAATAAAAATTCAAATAAACAAACTGATAATTTTAATGGTTGAGGTCATAAGTCCATTGAGGCTAGACCACCATGAAAAACATGGAGGCAATGGACGGTCGTTTCGTCCTATTGTGGGACTCAACAGTGCACATCCACGATCCCGCCTCGCGAGATTCAAACCCAGGACCCATCGGTCTCACTCGCGAGCGCTTAAACTCTAGACCACTGAGCCGGCATACAACGGTGTTAATGTCTAACTTCAACTAATCCACGAAATTGAGTGACAAATCCACCATTGTCATCAGTGAGTTACTATCTCACAACTGACTCGGTTGAAATCCACTGGTCACTACTTCTCACTAGAACTCCAGGAAATACATCTTGAAGCCAGTCACTAGTGAGCATATGCTGATTATTATCAGAAGGGGCTTTGTAGATATTATAGTATTTTTAATAGTTGTGACGATGAGTCAATTGAAGCTAGACCACTTTGGAAAACCTGGAAGCACTGGACGGCTAAGCGATAATTGTAAACAAAGGAGAGAAAAAATTAAACTGATATTGGAAAAAATAGGAAGTCGTCACACTGCCTTAGGCCTTAAAATGGCTTAAAAATTACGAAGGAAAATTCAAGGTTACGATAAATTCTTTCTAGACATATAAAGGGGGTTTGAATTTGCGAAGAGTCAAGGCCTCTATAAACGTTTAAAAAGCTGTATTGACGTCAATTCGATGCCCCGTTTCTATTATATATTTCGCTATTGATGAAAATGGTTTTCTAATTCCGACACTTATGGGAGCAGTTCACACTAATTAGCTCTGATGCCATCTAGACACATGTTTCATAACCCGTGAATGGTCGATTCTGTCTCCTCATTGTTCTTTCAAATTGATAAAAGAGACTTATTGCTTTTAACACATAGTATAAACTGGATAAATATATCCTCAATATATCCAGTAATACATTTGACACTATGCCACTTATGGCTCTTGTACTTTAGTATAGCTTATATTCAAAGCAACATGTGTTTTTATTCAATTAGGAGGTATCATTGCATATTACACAGAATAGTGTATTACTCAATGGTGGTTATGTAAATTTATTTGTTGATTTTTGAGTTGTATTGTGATATATGAATGGATTCTGTCAATTTGCTGCAATCTAACTCTTGGAGCTTCTTAATATAGTAGTATCCTAGTTCTTTCCTAGATTTAGAGGTTATTTTGTAAAAGTATCCCAACTACATAGTGGTAAGACTTTTTTATTAAATTATTGTCTAGATAGCGGGAATCATATTTGGAATGTGTCGTTTGGATGCATCCCAGTTTTAATGTTCACACTGACAACTGAACTCAGTTTCTTTCTATTTAATCGCCAATGCGTTATTTACTAAGCTGATTGGCTCATTCACTTAATTTGTTTTGAAGCCAAGGGTACTGGGTTCAAGTGTGAACATCAACAATGAGCTGCAGATACATGTAGCTGATGAGTCCCTAATAGAACGAATTCCCTGTCCTTGGATTCCACTGCTAGCCACCATTTAATTTTAATAATAAATCATGATTAAATGAAAATATTGTGACATTCCTTTCATCATCATCTAAATATGCCAATAGAGACTGATCAATTGCAGTACTTATAATCTATTTTATGATAGTATCAGTTATTCCCGGAGTAGTCAGTAGACTGAGTAATTTCAGTCACATTGTTAATCAGCTTTTTTTCATTAATAAAAATGAAGATTAATATTTCCAAATAAAAATGGAAATCCCCATAAATTATTTAAACTTATTTAATCTCTTGTTTGTTCATCATTTTATTTTGTCGAATTCCTCAAACGATGATATTATATGCTCCTGCCTCAAGTTCTCATCATAAAAGTTTACTCTCTTTATCGAATCAGAAATGAAAATGAAGGTTGTCATTTTTTCTTGTAATGATTTTCTCTCCACAGGTCTAGTTATCTGTTTTGTCTTTTTTTCAATTTAGCGCTATGTTCGATGCTTATTCGACTATGATGCAACAAAAGACAGTCTTCTACCCACTGGTGATGTTGGTCTGTCTTTTAAATCTGGGGATGTTTTGGAGCTAGTAAATGATCAGGATCCTAATTGGTGGCAGGTATGTTTAGAGGTGAAAAACTGTGAGTTTTTTCACACTGTTAATATTTTGTGGTTGGTGTTAGTCAACAGAGAAACTTGGTCCTGTATTTCTTGCCATTTAGCGCTCGCCAGTATATTTACTTACTTACACCTGTTACCCCTCGTGAAGTAGTATAGGTCGCCAACCAGCATTCTCCATCCAAATATATCCTGGGCAATTTTTTCAAGTTGTTTCCAGTTACTATTCATCTGTTTAATATCTGCTTCCAATTCCCGACCCAGTGTGTTCTTTGGTCTTCCTCTCGTTTTTTTCCTTCAGGATTTCAAGTCAGTGCTTGCCTCGTGGTGCAGTTTGATAATTTCCACAGTGTATCTCCTCTCCACATCCATCGTCGTTTCCTAATTTTTCCTTCAGCTGAAACCTGGTTCATACTCTTTCACAGTAGGCTGTTGCTGATGGTATCCGGCCAACGGACATTAAGTATCTTGCGTAGACAATTGTTTATACACACATGTACTTTTTCGATGATGATTGTATTAGTTTTCCATACAGTAGAACTATCTTGACATCTGTATTGAAAATCCTGACTTCGGTGTTGGTTGACAGTTGTTTTGAGTTCCAGATTTTCTCCAATTCTAAATATACTGCCTTCACATCTGTATCAGATCCACCATGTTCATCGATGATGCTGTCCAAATATGTAAAGGTTTTTACATCTTCCAAATCTTCTCCTTCAATTGTGATTGAATTGATGCATGCTGTGTTGTATCGGAGAATCTTGCTTTTCCCTTTGTGTATGTTGAGACCTACTGCTGCTACACTGGTCGTCTTCTCCTGCATTTGTTGTTGCGTTAGTGGTAGAAGAGCCATATCAGCTGCTAAGTCTAGATCGTCCAACTGCATCCTAGATGTCCACTGTATCCCGTGCTTCCTTTCAGATGTTGACGTCTTCATGATTCGATCGATCACCAGGAGAAAGAGAAAAGGTGAGAGTAATTAGCCTTACCTGACACCGGTCTTTACTTCGACCGAGTCTGTCAGCTGTCTTCCATGAACGATTTAGCAGTTTAATCCATCATATGAATTCTGTATGATATTGACTATCTTCTGAGGCACGCAGTAGTGTCGAAGAAGCTTCCATAGTGTTGTTCTGTCCACGCTATCAAATGCTTTTTCGTAGTCAATGAAATTGATGTAGAGTAATGAATTCCATCCAATTGATTGTTCGTTAATGATCCGTAGAGTTGCTATTCGGTCTCTACACGATCTGTCCTTACGGAATCTAGCCTGTTGGGCGTCTACGCAGTGCTTCATCCAGTTTAACAATACCCTGTTGGAGACATTTCCTGGTATTGAGAGAAGAGTGATGCCCCTGTAGCTATCACACTTATTGAGATCTCCTTTCTTTGGTATATTGATCAGGTGTCCTTCTTTCCAGTCTGTTTGTACTTGTTCTTCATCCCAAACCCTATTGAAGAGAATGTTGAGTATCCTTGCAGTTACTGCTACATCTGCTTTCGGTGCCTCTGCTAGAATGTTATCTGGTTTTGATGCTTTGCCGCTTTTGATTTGTCTGATGGCCATGCTGATTTCTTCAATTGTTGGTGGGCCAACATCGATTGGGAGGTCTGTGGGTTCAGTGTGGCTGGTCGATTCAAGAGTTCTTTGAAGTGTTCTTCCCACTTGTTTTGTTGTTCTTCAATATTGGTGATTACTTTGTCTTCCTTGCTTTTCACTGGTCGTTCTGGTTTACGAAAATTTCTAGCAGATTTCTTTGTTGTGTCATACAATTGTCTCATGTTTCCTTGTATTGCAGCCTTTTCCGCCGTTATTGCTAAATCTTCCACATATTTACGTTTGTCAGTTCTGATGCTCCTCTTCACCAGCTTGTTTACTTCTGTATATTCAGCTTGTGTCTTGGATTTCTCTGCTGTTGTTCGGCTGGTATTGATTGCTGCCATGTTGTGTAGTGATTGAACTCACTAGGGTTCGAGTCCCGCGTACGGGACCGTGGGTGTGCACTATTGAGAAATCTCATCTTAAGACGAAACGACTATCCAGTGTTCACAGGTTTTCAATAGTAGTCTAACTCAGATCGACTCATGAATTCAACTATTAAAATTACTACAATCTCCACAAAACTTCATACTGATTAATATGAGTTACAATTTCTTCACAGATAGATGTTCACATAAATTCATCTCAAAAGTAATCACTAATCATCAGTGTTATATCATCTTGTTATTTTTTGTTGTCGTTGTTTTTGGAAGAATGGATTATTGTTTGACAAAACTATTAATAACTATTTGATTTCATATCGTCATACTATTCATATGATCGATAATTTATATATTATGTAATCGCCTAAAATTAAATTAACTTTTCATTTCACAAATATTTCGGAAGCACTAGACAGCTTCCAGGTCTAACATTGATCGATTCATGATCTCAATCAAAACTCAACAATCTTCACAATCTTATACTGATGAATAATAGTGGCGAGACTATCATTTATGGACGAACCAATCGGATTTGAGATAGCAGGTCTTGGATTTTGGCGCAAAATTCATTCACTCATTTGGTTAAATACCATTTTGGCATTATAGCTTATGTTAGTTAGTGATGAAAACATTAAACTTAATTCATAACTCTAACATTAAATTGCAAATCTAATTCCTCACACTATTATAATATAACCCTCATTTAACCCTGGTAAGTAGGTGGACATTCCAAGGTCATTTTAGTGTTGCTCAAAAGTTGTCCATAAATTATAATCTTACCATAATAGTTGTTGTTTATTATCCAATAAACGTCGTTAATTTGAGACAATTTTTGTTTTTAGCAAAATATAAACGGCCAACTTTAGTTTCATAATTCTCAATTTCTATCTTAATTTATTTATTTGTAACGATCGATGTTTGCACATTGATTACTATGACCAACACATACACATTTACTGATCGAACAACAACAGTAAATAATGAAATGTAGGCTTATATCAGAAACATACTTCCATTCACGTTATTCTCATGTGTTTGCAACCTTTTTCGCTCACTACCCCCTACCTCTCTCTCTCTCTCCAAAGTGTACTGCATACACACAAACACACACCATAGATTATTCATTATTCACAGGTGTTTGTGACATTGATCATGGTTCGACATTTGTATAAATTAAATGTCATATTGTTGTTATGATGATGACCATAATCATATGCTTCCTTTTACTATTAAAATCTATTGTGAAATCGTTCATTTAAATGAGCTGGTTATCTTATTGTAGTCACATGATTTGACAATGAGTTGTTGCATTTCTTTTGGAAATATTCTCACTTAATACGCCTGTTTCATAATTATGATACGTTTGGAAAATAATCAATATATATATATATATGTTGCTCTGTGGTTTTTTATGTGTGTGGGACGCGATATATGAAACACAGTGATTAGTCATCAATGCGTGCAAACTATGTATCAATAGCAATAGTATGGTGACAATTTTTTTTCGTTAAATAAGAAAAGTTAGTATGGGGTTGTGGAGATTGTTAAATTTTCGATTGAGATCACAAATCGATTGATGTTACACCACCATTGAAAACCTAGAAGCACTGGACGACTATCTCTTCCTAGTACACATCCAAGATCCCGAACGTGGAATACGAACCTGGGACCTTCGGTCTCGCAGATTAACGCTTAACCTCTAGACCACTGAACTGGTCGGCATCCAACGATGTTATTGTCTGAGTTTAACCAATCAACGAAATCGCGTGACCATCTTCCATTGTTTGAGATAGATACCTGTCTCTATTTGATACGAATTAGTTAAATTTAGACACTAACACTGTTGGATACCGATTCATTGGTCTACAGGTTAATCGTTCGTTCTCGAGACCGAAGGACATGGGTTCGATTCCCGCGTGCGGGATCTTGGATGCGCACTGGTGAGGAGTCCCATACTAGGACAAAACTGACATCCAGTGGTCTAACATCAATCAATTCATGATCTCAGTCAAAAAAAGAAAAGTAGCATTCGAAATAAGATTCTCGCCATTTCATTAACTAAGCAGGTTATCAAATTTCAGTGATTTATGTAAAATTTATAAAATATCAATTAATCATTTATACGGAAATTCGTCTAAAATAAATCGAATAGTTTCACAGTAATTGGATGCCGAGTTTATTATGTAAGACATTTAAAAGGAAATTATATTTCTAAAATATCTCAGCAATTGAACTGATAATCGTGATTTCAGATTGTATGCAGCTGATGAGAAACTGTGAAATAGAATGATGAATTCATTTTATTCTGCAAACCTTGTTGTTGTTGTTGTTGTTGTTGCTCGTTGTTCAAATTAATCAATGGGTCTGGTTGTATGATATGATAATGGTCATAATACTAATTATCAAGAAAAAACCATGTAAATATCGTCATTATAGTGTGTTAGGATTTGAGTTTTGCATGTGTGTATGTGTGTGCTTATAGGACATAGGAAGGGTGGATCTTGATTCATAAATTAAAAAATTGATGAATCATTGATAAACGATATTAATAATTAGAACGAAGCATATAAGCAAATAAATATTGTTTTCAATTAGATCGTCATCAGGCTGTACTCTAATGTACAGTAATATTTGTGTACGTGTTATGTCCCGACAAGGATAATGAATGGTAACTTTTAGGATCCATTTACGGACCAATACTAAACGTATATTTCTATTGTATAATTGTTAATTAACTAAACTGTTCATATTTATGTCCCTCTTATTATAAGCTTTATTTTGACCCATAAACTATTATTATACGTTTTGCCATTCTCGAGTTATGGTCTGTCTATTAATTACTATCTCCCTAATTCACAGCCACTTTTGGCCTAATATTGTACAAATGTTATTTTCTATTTTATGGTACGTGGTGGTCGGTTTGATTGGTATATAAACCCCGTATGTTTGAAATAAGTGATTCATATCGCAGAGGCTTGGATTGGTGTTCTGGACTTAACTAGCTGGGCTAAGCGGAAAGCAGGACCAATTAGGAATCTAGACTGCTGACACGGGTTTACGCGTCATTGATCCGATCGATAAGTCACTGCTCTCTAATTGGCGGTCACAAGTTATAACAGTGCGTAAAGTTATTAAGTCAGTTATAGCAGTTTATGGGTCAGTGATAGCAACAAATCGTTTTCTGAACCTAATTCGGTCAAGCAGGAGATAAAGATATTACAAATTTCTGATGGATACAAAGACTTTGGTTATTAGTTCGAATCCCTATAGCTTCTGCTACGTGTGAGAGATAAGATCAAAACATATAAGAAAGGGAATAAGATATATGATAGATTACTTTAAGTGATTGGTTTCTATCTACTACATGACCGTTATCGACCATATCTGATAGAATAAAGCTGCGTATTGTTTTAATCATAACATTTCTCAACCATGAACGGAAGTGTTCGCTTACTCGTTTGTTCAGTTATATGAATGAAGTGAAGAAAACGAAACAATTTTTTAAAATCAAGTTTATTGATAGCAACAAAAGTAATGTACCTATGAAGACAGTATTTATCCCATCAATGTCCATGATAAGGAAATAAACTGAAAATTAATGATAATATACATACTTTTGATCAAAAAATTCTAATGTTTGTTACCTCTTTTTTATTTCGATAATCGATTAGATAAAAAACTTAGAAGCTTCACTATAACGCTATTTCCGACAGTTAATACTGTTGAACGTTTGTTGGTTTTATGTTCAATAAATTGAACATCAGTTAATTTTGATTGAAAGTATTCATCCCTTTACTTAACAACACAAGACAACGTATATTTTGAATATTTCAAAAAGCAGTTTAAATCATCTATGAACAGACTAACTTTCCATCTAAATATAGACCAATCCTTCTGAATGTCTTCATTAGTATGTGTTCGGGCTATCTTATTGTCAATATTTGGTCTTGAACTTCTATCAACCTTTGTTACCATATTTACATCTTGTGCAGATTACCTCAATGGTCACTAACCACCTATTCGAGAAATCGTTTATACTTTCTAATACCACTCAAAATAAGTGTCAATAATTTCATACAACTCTATACTTTAGTTTGCTTTAATGAGAATGGAAATATTAATCGGGCTGTGATATGTATTCAGGATATAAAGTTTTATGCATTGTTTCATGGTTTATTTTTTAAAAAGGTACGTTCATTGAAGGATCCTAACTCAAAAGCTCGTTTAATACCTTCACAAACACTGGAGGAACGTCGTCAAGCCTTTAATCAAGAAAAGCTCCAGGGTATGTCAGTTATTTCAGTCATGTTTCTTGTAATGAAAACTTGGAATATATATATGATTATTTCACATAGTCAGTTTTTTGACTAATGGATATTTTGCTATATGTCTTTCATTGCCATCAATGCATCTGTCGACTAGTTACTAAGACATTGTTTATTCGTAAACGATTGTTGTGGCGACAAATTTGTAGATGTATAATTTATTTTGATGGAATTTCTCTCTTAGTTGAATTTTTTTATTATCATACATCTTAGAGAACGAAATTCCACTAAGACATCCATCCACCTAAGCTACAAATCTTATCCATGTGTAATGTATATATTTACCTGTTCTACTGAAATTTCTGTTCATTTGTCGTTTACTACTTAAATGAAGATATCCACTTATGTATCCCATCTTGATTGACTAAGGGGATATAATATAATAGTTTAGTGATGATAATATTAAGAATGAGTGATGAAATTATGCTATAATGACAATCACAAGGGGCTCTTTAACGATCATTATCCATGTTGTCTAGTCTATTCATGTTATTAAATTTATTTTGTCATGGAGCGCAGCGACTTACTGATTTAAGCATTTAACTTTCAACTACTAGGTCACGGATTCGAACCTTGCTTCCTTCCACTACGGTTAGGATTATCCTAGTCCTCGCATCTAAATAGTGGGGTTCTTAGTCCCAACATACATTGATATGTACTTGGTTAATTGGGTTGAATTGAATTTCTGTTTTAATATTCCATTACTGTGATTTTTTTCGTTTTTCAAAAACCTTTTTAGCAAATACTTATCGTAAACCGTGGAAAAAAGTCAAAACATTTTTCAGAGCTGCTGACGCATCAGGCAAGTTATATTTTTATGCTCACCCACCTACCTAAATATAGGTAGGTAGGTAGGTAGGTGAACACGAATGAAGGTCTGCTTGAAATAATAATATACCTGAGACTAGTTACTGACTTCTTAACTCAAGGGTAGGGCACAGAGAGAAGCTACAGAATCAATAAGAACTTAGCAGTTGATTTAAGGTTCTTAATATTTTAATTTTTTTTGTAAAAATTCTTGGCATCAAAAATATTTGTCAACTGTTTTCTAACTTTAAACCTACTGTTTCTCTCTTTAAATAAGTAGCCTTTTACATAGAAGTAATTGTATTCATGACATTACGAAGCATATATAAGTCACGCAGTGTTTTATAGGCTGATTCATTTACTAAAACTGGTTATTTCATGTAATAAATGTATGACAGGTTAGCAGGATGTTATCATGCTTGAAACATGAAAGTCTATTAAATATACTAGTTAAATTCCAAAGTTAAACACAAACCATCATCTATGACTCGGTCGATCTCCGGTAGTGATTCTTTCAACTTATTATTATTATCTAATGCACGTTAGAATGTATTCATCATTGGTTCATCTTAAAAATATAATCTTTCTAAACAAACCCATTTATAAATAATTACTAAATGAATACACAATGCACACCAATTTATTGGTATGATCAAGTAAGTTCATGAAGAGGAAGTGATGAATACACTACAAAATTATCAGCATACAGAAAAGCTTCTGAAGCGATTGTAGTTAGCATTTATACATACTATAAAAGCTAATGTACCTTAAACACTCACTACTCTGTATTACTCTCCTTATGACTTGGAGAATGTTCAATTGAAAGAAATCAATTTTAACTATTTCGTATCTACGAATAAAAAAAATGTAACTCATACAAGCAAAAGATCCCTTTCCCTATAACACATGAGTTTGTTTATAAAAAACTGATCAAAGGCTTTAGCAATGTCATGCATAGTATAGTGCCAGGACTAAACGCTCGTGACTATACTCAGTAAAGATCAAATTAAAGAAGTCAAAATGACGAGTTGTAAATTTCTAAGTTACTTATTATCGTTTTCTTTGTATTTTTAATTATATACTTTATAAAGGTTTACGTTTACGATCAGATATCTGGAGCTATGAAGAAGTTGTGCCATGGCCACAGTCTAAAGTACCTTGTCTTTTGCTAATTGGCCCAAATGGTGTTGGTCGACGGAATTTAAAAGTACTTCTTGCAAAATATGAACCAAAACGGTTTGCATATCCTATGACAGGTATGTATATACACAATTATGATGCACACACAATCACCTTATCTATATATATGTAGTAATAAGTTACATTTACTCACTCAACTTCGATTATAGAATTTTTTCAGTTAGATTTTGTTCTTATGTATGAAGCATGTAATCATCCTTACATATGTGGGTAGATGAACAACACACTTTCTCACAATAATAAACCACCTCTACTATAACCCCATCCCATGTCATGTGACTTTGAGAAATTGTGTCCTGTTTAATTCATCTCAGCCATTTAATGCAAACATCATCTGTCTCTCAAGATTGAAACAGTAAATCACTCATGATGACCATTTAGAAATATAAATAACTGAATCGAGACACCAGTTCTAAATAGGCGAATCCTGCAATGTTATTCACTAATCTATGCAAACAATAGCTGAATTAACAGAAAGTCCTAAAATCACTTTTATAATCAAAATAACCCATAATGTCATTGAATAGGAAAAAGAGAATTCAGCGAAGAAAAGAAAAGCATCGAAAAGAAAAATTTCTTCGCTGAATTCTCTTTTTCTTATTCAATTACTTTTATATAAATTTTCCCTCATCAAGAAGCAAACTGATACTACCCATGAAGTTCAAACCCAGTCTCAGTTGAAGACGTTTGTGGTGGTCGGTATTCAATATAATCCTTAAGCTTTGTATATAGTTCATCCTGATAACCGTCACTCGATAACGCCCCAACGGTGTATTAATTGAGAAGGCGAATACGAAGTGTTCATTACCTTTATTATTGCACCACACACAGATCACCCAAATTACAAGTACGCTAAGGCAAGCATGAAAGAGTAGTGTCGAAAAGCTAGCAGGCAGGCAAGTGAGTGTGCGAGTCAATGAACAGGATTAAAATGTACATATATAGACATAGTTAAATGAATGAATCATCGAAACAATTAAACGACTAATAGTAAGGCTAACAGAATGAATATATGTATAGGCAGTAAGCAATGCTCAAGCATACATATTCATACAAGTGCAACAGTAATAAGAGAGCGCCAATATATATGCGCCACACAAAACAATGGGAATTCGAAGAGAAGTAGAAAGAAAAAAAAGAAAAAAAAAAACTAAGGAACGCAAAAGAAAAAGAGAGTAATGACGAAGAGGTACAATCAGAAGAAATCTTTCAGTTAAGTAAGATACAACCACTTTTATGAAGAAAGTAAAAGAAGGTTACAGCAGGATCGCCACTGGCTTCTATTCTGAGCCATATCTGATAACGTCTCTAGCCACTGTGTTGCACCATCTCTCGGACCCCAGCCAGGGAGTCGTGAAGGACCAACACAAGCCAGTCCTTTGCAGCTTTCTTTCATGCCACGACACCATGTCATGCACTGACCACCTCTCCGCTTCTTCCAACCAGTCCCAGAGTCGGCAAATAATGCACGACGTGGAATTCTCTGGGACGACATTCGGAGAACATGTCCAAGCCACCGAAGTCGGTGTTTCAAGATGGTGACACCAATTGAGTTATCATCTCTGTGCCCGAACACACGATGCCGAACCTCTGCATTACTGACATGGTGTTGCCACTGAATGTCAGCAATCCTTCGGAGACAGCGATGATCGAACACAGAGAGTCGTCTAACGTCCTCAACTCGGAGAGGCCAGGTTTCACAAGCATAGAGCAAAACTGCTCTCACCGACGCGTTGTAGATCCGGCCTTTTACAGCCAGACTAACATCACGAAGGCGCCAAAGGTGGCCCAGATTGGCATAAGCCGCTCTGGCTTTCACTATTCGTGCATTGATCTCATCACTCACACCCCCACCAGCACTTATGTAGCTACCCAGATACACGAACTTCTCAACTACGTCTATCTGCTCACCATCCAGAGTGAGTACAGGACTAGAATCCTGCCAGTCTTGTAGAAGTACTTTGCACTTCGAAGGTGCAAAGCACATACCATACCTACGGACATTGATTGCCAACTGATTAAGTGCGGATTGCATGCCTTGGGCATTATCGCACAGTAAGACAATATCGTCCGCATACTCAAGGTCGAGAAGTCTTTCTCCAGGCAACAGATCCACACCACCATTACTTACATTCATCAGAGCTGTTTCCAGAATGTCATCGATGGCAAAGTTGAAGAGGAATGGTGAGATTGGGCAACCCTGCCTAACCCCACTGCTCGAATGGAACAATGGAGAGAGGTGGTTGTATGCCCTCACTCTGCCTGAGGTGTTTTTATACAGGGCTTTTAGGATGTTAATAAACTTCTCAGGCACACCCTTCTTCAATAGACAATCCCAGAGAACAGTCCTATCCAACGAATCGAAGGCAGCCCTGATGTCAAGAAACACTACGATTGTTGGCCTTTGAAAAGTATGGCGGTGTTCTAACATTTGGCGGAGGGTGAAGATATGATCAATACATCCTCGACCAGAACGAAACCCAGCCTGCTCCTCGCGAGTCAATCTTTCTCGGGTTTTGAACAACCTACGAAGAATGACGGAAGCCAATAGCTTGGACGCAATCGGAAGTAAACTTATCCCCCGATAGTTGTTACAAGAACGACGTGAACCCTTTTTAAAGATAGGGACAACTATCGACTCATTCCATGACGTTGGTACACTCTCTAGATCCCAAACCTTTGTAAACAACGTCGTCAATTCCTTAGTCAAAAAGTCACCACCATCTTTAAAAAGAGCCGGAGGTAAGTCATCTGGGCCAGGTGATTTGTAACGCTTCAAGAGTTGGAGTTCCTTGCGGACTTCCTCCTCATTTGGTGGATCAGTCGTCACCGGCCATGGAGGGCAGGACAGTCTGACCGATGTTACAGGAGCAGCAGGCCAGTTGAACTGCCCTTCGAAAAATTCTGCCCATCGTCCCAGACGTCGATGGATGTTAGTGATTGGCATCCCATCATCCTCGCAGATTGTTTCACTCACACCAGACTTCTTGCTGCCAGTGGCTCGGATGAGTTGGAAGAGCTTCCGGTAGTTACCAGATGCAGCTGCTGCTTCCAGCTCATTAGCACGCGTCGACCACCAGGCTTCTCGGTCCTTACGCAAGCTTTGCCCGATTTCCTTACGTAACATCCTTCGTTTATGGTCAAACTCACGGTTACCCGGAGTAGACCGACGGGCTTCAATGAGTTGTAAGGAACCTGCAGAAACCCAGTGCTTAAAAGCGGGACGTTTCGCAAACCCACAACTGACTGTTCCCGCCATTTTCATGGCGTCATGCAATTGCAACCAATGCTCATCTATACTTTTCGGTGGAGTGGTAGCTAGCCTAGAGGCTAGCTCAGTTCGATACTTACTTGCAACAGAAGTTGCAACCAGCTTGCTAACATCAATCCTTTGATGGCGTTCACTTCGTTGTCCACTGAAAAGTAAGGCAAGATTGGCGCAGACCAAGGCATGGTCAGAGTCCAGATAGGTACTCCAAAAGGAGCGGCAGTCTTGTACACAACCACGCCAGCGGTAGCTGATCGCGATGTGATCAATCTGAGTCCAGGCTTGAGATGCAGAGGGAGGACGCCAGGTGGCACATCGGCGATGACTGTGCCGAAAGTTAGTGCTAGCCAGAAACAGGTTGTGGTCTGCGCAAAGTTGCAGTAGACGGTCCCCGTTATCTGACCTGCGACCAACGAGTCCCCATCGGCCACCTAAACGACTCTCTTCTGTGCCTAGACGCCCGACCTGAGCATTCAAGTCTCCGGCTAGTACTACAATATCTGTCGAACGCACTTTCTGGAGAAGAACTGATAACTGGTGGTAAAACTCATCCTTGATTGCATCCGGGCTGCAATCGGTCGGAGCATAGGCGGAGATGACGAAAAGACATCGTTTCTCACGCCGATTTCTTCTCACTTTGATGGAACTTTCTAATCTAACAGCACATAACCGACTGTTAATGGGGATCCAATCGACTAGTGCTGCCTCAGCTCTAGCGCTTAGTGCGACACCAACGCCAGCAAGACCAGACGAAGATGCCACAGGGTCCCCGGATAAGCGCACGTAAAACAAGCTTTTCGAAGCGACAGATGGAGATCGAATTTGTAGTACTTCGCCAGAGTCTTGAATACGGGTCTCGGATAGACAACACACGTCGATATTAAGACTTTCCAAAGACATAGCCAGCCCTATCTGTTGTCCGACCTGCATAAATGTGCGAACGTTGAAGGCAGCCAGTTTGAATGGTGCACGTGGTTTCAGAAAATCTGCTTCAGTCCTCGTATTCGGTGGTAACATACAATTTTCAACCGGACAGTGACTCGAGAACGTTTAGATACAGTCGGAATTCCACCAAAGACGAGCCGCTGTATAAGTATAAAAGAAGGTGAATAATGTGGAAAATAATAATAATAATGATAATAATAACAATAATGACAATAATAGTAGTAATAATAATATTAGTATTAATAATGACAATAATTGAAGTGATCATAATTTGAATCAATTGATTGTTTTTCAAAGCGACAAAAGTAGTTTCCATAGACATAAACAGTTCATCATTTGTGTGTGGGCTGTGATACTGCCCGGGTGCCCAAACCGAAGCAGGTGGTTATCTTAGGGGGCCACTCCCCGAGCCTTTGACCTAAAGGTCTAACCCACAAGGCAGTGGAGCATCGTAAGGAGATGCAGTCCCATGGTAGCCGGTGACCAACGATTGGTTCATACGCCATTCGTTCCCGCAGGATACTGGAGCCCATGTGCACCATTGGTTTGGAATCCGGTTAAAGCGCCGGACATTCGCTTCTCGTCCTCTCATTTTCGTAAACAACACCCCCGCCACGAGAAGGCAATGAGTAGGACTTCCCTGGCAGAGGCTATATACGCGTGGCCGTGTGAGAGTATTTCGAGAGGGAGAGCGGACTCTCCCCACTCTCGGCCGTACCAGGGCATTCAGGGGGCGCAACAGTAATAAAGGTACAATGATATAAGTTATTATCGTACAGATGACTCTGTCCGTTGAATAAGTTAACAGAATGGCTTAACCGAATTAAATGTCAACAAATTCGATTGCACGTCAGCTGCTATACGTTCCACATGTTTTTGCCAACTGCACCCAACGATCTAACACCATTGTATAGTGCATGCGATTTAAAATCGCCTAAATTAGTGATCGCTATAAAATTTGATCCATAGAATATGATCACTAGTAAGGACTACTGGATAAGTATACCATTTATTTTTACTTAGTAATGAATCAGCGTCAAGTTTTCTTTATAGATAAAGTTAAACGAAGTTATTCTTCATCATAATCACCAATTGTTTTGTGTGTTTTTTTTTCATTCATCTGTCAATGTAGATACTACAGACTCAACATTACCGACTAATTTATTTAAAGTTTTATCTAAAGATCAAATGGAATCTGATGTGAAATCTGGTGCCTATGTTGAATGGGGTAAAGTTAATGGTCATTACTATGGAATTCGTTTTTCTGAATTACGTAAAATAATAGCTAATGGACGAACTGCTGTATTAGATTGTCAGCCCCAAGTAAATCTATGTATATTCTTTTGTGTTTTATCTTCAAACAGAAATTTTCATTTTATTATATCAGAATTCTCTTGTAGGTAGTTGTGGTGGCGGCAGTGGTGGTTATATATGATCGATCGTCAGATGATGGATGGTTATTCATGATCAGTTGATTAATCTTTCATCATTTAATGAACATAAATAATTTATGAAGATTGTTGAGTTTTGTAGTCTTACACCACAGATTGGTTATAGCTAGACAACCCATTGAAAATCATGATGTACTAAGCAACTGTCTTATTTTGATACAGGACTTCTCAGCAGTGCACATTCACGTTCACGCTAGGAGCAGGAGGGACCCATCAAGTTCTCTCAAAGCGCGCGCCTAACCTTCAGATCACTGAGCTGGCATCCAATCATTCGCATTCCTAACTTCAGTTATTTCACGAGATGGTGTAACTATCATCCGACGCCACTGATAGATAACCGCTTCACTCATAATATGGTTGTTTGGTTTTTTAAAAGGGTTTGGAATCAGTGTATATCAATGACGGTAGCCTTACAAAATAAAATTACAATCATTTGCGTTACAGCAATTAGTATTCAGTACTTCTGTAAATCTTTTATTTATTTAACTCAACTGGATTATATTATTGATTGGACGTAATTCATTCACCATTTGTAATGTTTATGTACTCCGTTTTGAGTCACAATGTTTGCGTGAGAACTAGTGATACTTTTTCGCCTTGTTTGATCAAACTGAAGTAGACACAGCTGGGTTTGAACCCATGACCTGCTGACTTAAATTTAAGCAGTATGAAAGGGATTATAAAGATTTTTGAGTGCTGTAGTTCACATTACAACACAGGTCGCGAGTACATATTCCCAAGGAATTTTGTGCCAGAATGAAATAACTGTCTACTGTTTCTTGGTTTTCAGTATTTCTTTAACTACGATTAGTTCACGATGTTAAATACAGGATTATTATTCCAGAGTGTGGAATAATAACAGACCTGACTGACATATTTCAGTAATTATTGCTTTGTCGTTCCATGCTCTCTGTTTCCATTTTACTTTCTTGAGTTTTAGATGATTATAATTAATTCGTTATGGCATAGGAAATGACCTTAAATGTACCGTTCATAAATCAAGAGTATGTTGACTTAAGAAGAATTAAAAGTTCCCGGCTGATGCCCTTCATTGGTGTAATACATGTCAGAAATGTACTACCTAAACAATTATTAAGCTAGAACACTTCAAATAATCTAATATCAACTATCTATCCTCTACATTTAATTTACTATCTATATCATGCTGACCATGCCTGTAAACTGGCGTGAATTTAGTAATTATCATTTGCAGAATTTATTATCATTATTATTAATATTTAAGTAACTGATATATAAACTTAATGGAGATTATGAACTGATCAATGTTTGACCACTATTTAAAACCTAGGAGCACTAAACGGCTATTTCGTCCTAATATGGGACTTTCTAACAGTACACACCGACGACTCCTCATGCGGGACTCCAACCCAAGACATCCGACCTCGCGTGCAAACGCTTAACCTGTAGAACACTTAGCCGGTATCCAACGATGTCAATATTTAAGTTCAACCAATCCAGGTTTTTAATGGTGATCTAACATTGATGGATTCATGATCTCAATTAATACTCAACAATCTCCGCAACCCTATACTGATAATGTGTAGACTGTTGTATAGTATATAAGAATTTATATTATTTACTCTTTTTAACTGTTATACTTTTTCGTAGAATGATTATTGAATGATTAAAATATTCGATTTTTAATCACCAAGTATAAGAATGAAAGTCTCCGTATTCATTTAGGTTTAGTTATTATGATAAATATATACTTATTTAAACGAGTTATATATTAACATTTTTGTAATAGTCACCATTAATTTTATGATAAAAATTTCGTTTTTCTTTTTTTCTAATTATAAATTATCAGTCGCTACATTTGTTACATCAACCAGAGTTTAATCCTTGCGTTGTATTTGTTGCTGCACCGTCTTTTGAAGTAGCGAAAACTATGTTACAAGAAGGTTTACAAGCTAATGTCACTTCAAATATACGTTCTGTAAGTTAGATAATTTATTGAACTATTTATCGATTGACGTATTTATTTATAATTGGAATAATAATTTTTTCAGTGTTGTTGACACAAGAGATTTCATAATTCGTGAATATGCACTGCTGAGGAGTCCCATACTAGGACGAAACGGCCGTCTAATGCTTCCAGGTTTACAATGGTGTTCTAACATTGGTCCATTCATGATCTCAATCAAATATAACTTATTCTGAGCTATGTTACTTTAGCATTTTCAACCATTCATTAATCAAGATAATTGTACCGACCCGAACTAAGTAGTTTGCAGCTATTAATATGACTTGGAATGACATTCAGTGACCTGAATAACACTGATTGGCATTAGCAACAGTCAGAAAAACATACATAATACATGTTTCAACCACCTCAAGTAATTTTCACCATAAACTGACAACTCTTGTAGTCTAACGATTGAAAATTGAGCAACATTGATTATATGTTCATCCTAACTCATAGCTCATCGGAAATGTGCACTTATGATATTATCAAGATTTACTAAGCTGATGTTTCGTGGTCCACATTTTCAACTACAGTCAATCACTAATATTCTACAACGATCATTCAGATTCATCAAGTGTTATAGTCTATTGACTGGAAGTTTATATATTCCGTCTGAAATTTATTCACCTGATGAACCTATGTTTATGATATACGAAAGTGATTTTGTGTAGATTTTTCACACTCTGAAAATTGACAAGCAGACATCAACTGAAAAATCACTTTAAAACTGTTTTTGTTCATTCATAAATTTAACCAGTACATTTCTTTTTTATTTATGAATCAATGTTTATCCAAACTACTCATTTTTAGTTACCAGTAGACGAAGTATCGTTGCCTCAGTTAAGTTTCTAAATTAGTTACTATGCTTAAATTCATCTAATATATATATATATATATATATATATATATATATATTAAAAATTGTTCTAGACTCTAAAATTCTCGTGGAACAATTTACACTTAGATTTGAATTCACTACGGTGACTAAGCTTTAAATGTATCCCAGAAGTTATAGTAAAAAGCTATTATAAGCTATGAAGTTTAAGTACTTCAAACATGAGATCAACTATACTGCTAGTAATTGTTGATAGTTGCACAACATCGTTTCAATTCCGTGAAGTTGAAACTATGTACCAGTGAATGGCAACTGAATGGTCTAAGGGTAACCCCGCTCTCAACTAGATCTGAGGAGTAGGTCTTCGGTTCGATCGATGATAAGATTTTGATGACAAACTAAATAAAGAGTTCTATATTAACCTAAATCAAGTACTCAGCAATATCCGGTTGCTTAGCCAAATATGATGTAAACCATACATTGTGCAACATTATGTTAATAAACTCTTGTGTATAATTCTTAATTATCAATTCACTGACGTCCATTACTGTCAATCATTAAATATGATGGTGTAAATTATTACTTGTTTCTAATTATTTAATACGTCTTATTTCAGGATGAGGAATTACACTCCATTATAAAAGATTCAATGTCAATGTCGGTAATTTATCGTCATTTATATTCACACATATTAGTTAATAAAAATATGAAAGAAAGTGTTGAGAAATTAAGTCGTCTTGTTTCAAAGTTGGAACGTCAACCATGTTGGATACCTTGTGGATGGGCCTATGAATTAAGCATTCCATATAGATCAAGTATGTTAAAAAGAATTAATGGTTAAATTCCTATTTTATTTTGAATGCAGAGACAATATCTACTGACGTTTACACCTAATATTGAAGCAACAAAATCAACTGAATCATCAATGGTGTGTCTATTAAATTGATTCTACGACCAGTCAGAAATCAAATTTGTTAAGGATTTTCACCATAGTTTAGAAACTAAAAAGCACTGAACAATTATTTCGTCCTTGTCCAATTGAAGATCTTCATGTCTCTTATAGTCTCCCATTAAATTAGCACACATAACTGTATGTGCTCGGAAATATTCTTTTCAATAAATTTTAGCTTCTAATTCTATGGCTATACATACTTTTAAACTGAACCTGGGATTAATGGACGTGCCCAATTTATTCAAAAAAATCCATTTGGTTACTACTTCCACCTTTCATTAGATTCCATGCATGACCACAAACTGTAGATTACCAATAATATAGGAGATTTTTGGATATAATTTGTTATTGTTAACCCAATGGTTCATTTGAACCTAGACAGGCTGGCCGTAGACAGTTGTAATTCTGTAAATTTGGCTAGCCATACTAGAAGCTGTCATCATGAGCACAGAAAATTAAATCCTAAAAACATTAAGTGTAAATGTAATTCACTTCGATTTTGTATTTCCCTGCATTGTTATGTAATGCTTGTCACTGTATTCGATTGATTAGTTTTCTGTTCCTCTCTCTTTCCATATTTTAAATCCATCAATCAGCTCGCACTGACGGTTCACCTTTTATACCTGGATCTAGTAGCCTTAGTGCTCTTGGTATACATGATTTACCACCATCTTCAAGATCATCAGCTTTGTCAAAATCCGTCATTTCTGAAGCATCGACTGAATCTGCATCTAGACTTGCTCGACCTCCAAGCATTTGCAATGGGGAATTTTCAAATCATCCTCTTTCAGGGCGTGATCGTTATTCTATCACTCAACGAATATACGAAAAACATCGACGTGCTCAACATGAATTCCAGCATCCACCAATACCGGAGCTTGATACACCATCTGAGTCTGTCGATAGTTATTTATTGAACAAAATGTCTACTCGTCATCATCAGCATCGAGCGAAATCAAATCATAACACTGATAACCATGAATTGTCTCAGCCTATTCTTAGTGTTAAAACTACAGCTGAGGAGGATCAAGTAAGTATTTGAATTAGATGTAGTTAAACCAATCAAAGCAATTAGAGTATCAATGGCAACGTCAATGTATTGACTATTGACTGTAAATCAGTGACTGAATACATATCCATGTAATCAGACCTAAACACGGATTGTTTTTTTAAAAGTTTGTTCTATTTATTTAATCATATAAACATTGGTACAAAGAGGCACCGAAATATATCCGCGCCACACAAAGTAGCTATCACTGAATTTATGTGTGGGCTACGATATTGTTCGGGTGCCCAAACCTAAGCAAATAGTTTTCTTAGGGGTGGACCCACGGAGTTTCTGACCTAGAGGTCTAATTCACAAGGCAGTAGAGCAAAGTTAGATGTGGTTCCATGGTAGCCGGTAACGAAGAGTAGATTTTTACTCCATTTTTTCCTTCAGGATCCTGGAACCCATGTGCACTATTGGTTTAGAATCAGGGTTTTCCATATCAGTCAGGTGGACCCGACTTACTAGAGAAAGCCTCCAAATACCTTGTTAAGGTCGATTGTGGGTTGAGACCGCTCTCTCTCAAAATGCTGTCGTATGGCCAAACATATATACCCACTACCAGGGAAGTTCTACCTGCTGTGAGAGTGCTTTTTGCGAAAGTGAGTGGACGAGTTAGTGGGTATTAGGTAATTAGTATCTGACCACCGAAACCGAGCTAGTTAAGCGGAAATCAGAATTCATACGTGATAGTCAATGGTTCGTAATTGATTGATGTATCCATTTGGCCATATTTCAAGATAAATGTTATGAAACAGCCATTTCTTAGTGTTATTACACTCATTAAGTGGCTACAGATTCCATTAGGTTTGAATGCTGCTCTACTCTATTTTGGTTCGAGTGTTAACTTGTGTATATTTGAATTTTAGTTCAAACTAGAGTATATGAGATCTGTATTTGATATTATGCATGATATATATTATATTCATCTTTTACAAGTAATCGACACTTAATCACACTTATTAAAAAAATGATATTTTATTGTACTTATTATGAATAGTTCTTTGTGTTTGTATCATATATATAGTGTTATAATAGTGTTTGCTTTTCCTTCCATTGCGTATTACTTCATTGTATTTTTATATTTTCATTATATCAATTAAGCTCACTGACACAGAATTATCACAAACTCCTTCTAATGATGATAATGATGATGATGATGATGAAAGTAAAATAACTCAAGTGGAAAATATTTTATCAGATGAACAACAATCAAATGTTGTAAACATCAACAATGATAATAATCCATCAGTTCAACCTAAACCTGAACTTAGAAAAGTAATAACAATCAATAAACATGAAGAGTTCAGTTCCACATCTAGCGATGAGGATGATGATGAAGATAATAATGATAATGTAGTCAGTATTTAACAAATAAATAAATATAAACATTGATGATAATGATTAATTCAGTTACAAAATCAATACAAATTCAATATTTGTTCTTCCATTCACTAATCATTAGTATTAGTATTAATAAAAGTAGATTTTTTACTCAATAACTGCTACAATATATTTCTCAATACCTCCCATTTTAATAATGAGAATATCATCCATAATTTCAGTATTAAAAGATTTATATTATACATAGATACTTTGTATTTCTGAATTTCCATTTTGTTACATACTTTATTATTATTACATTTTGTTTAAATAAGAAAAACAAAACGAGACCAAAAATAATCATATAAGTAGTGTTTTTTTTAAAAAAAAAACAAACATTATTATTACTATTATGCTTTATAATAAGTAGTATCACAATGGCAGCAGATTTGCTAATTACACAAATTTGAAGTATAAACTTTTTGTTTGGGATCTAACAAAATATAAAAAATACCGCTTTTATTTTATATCAAAGAAACAAACAAACAAATCTTTATTAGCTATGTAACTCACATTTATCTAAGTTGCAATCTTACTCGGGTTCTTCATTATAATATATACACTATTACTCTATTTAGGTATGATTTTAAAATTTTCATTTATTTATTATAAATTTTTGTACTACTTATAATTACTTATTCATTTGATTTCTATCTATTATTTTTTTTACTGCGAGTATTTTCTCTAATAGTCTTCAAGTTTGATTTATTTAGTATAGCTGATTTTTTTAAATATATATATATACAGTACAATGTAATTAACTTAACGAAAAAGAAATCTTATTTATACACTAACTTTTGTCTGATGTTAATCTCTTATTTATTTGAGCACATAAATATTGGTACAGAGGGGCACCAGATACATATGCGCCACACAAATCTCATTTGATTTGTATGAGGGCTGTGATACTGCCCGGGTGCTCAGACCGAAACAGGGCCACACTCGAAACCTTCGACCTAAAGGGTTGATCTACAAGGCAGTGGAGCATCCTAAGGAGATGTAGTCCCATGGTAGCCGGCTACTAACGATTGATTTATACGTCGTTTGTTCCCTCAGGATACTGGAGCCCATGTGCACGATTGATTTGGAGTCATGGTTTTCCAAATCCTTGTAGTTGGACTCTCTGTGTCCAACAACCGGGTTAAAGCGCCGGACATTCGCTTTTCGTTCTCTCAATTTCGTAAACAACACTCCCGCCATGAAAAGGTAGTGGGTAGAACTTCTCTGGCAGTGGTTGTATGCATGTGGCTATGTGAGAGCATTTCGAGAGGGAGAGGACTCTCAGCCGTACCAGGACATTTAGGAGCAATGTTAATCTCTAAAAAGGACACTATTGTTTGAAGATCTTTGGCATAATAATAGGATAATTGATGATTTGATGACATTTCTAAAATAAATGAAGTCATTAAGCCGATAATTTAATGTGGTAACCCTAACTGGGACCAGTGGCTTATCATTTAAAGCCGTCAACTAGTAAGCTACCTGTTCAAATCACATTGCACCTACCTGATTCTGACTGACAGAGTAGTTCCTCCGCGCTCCCTCACTAACAAACTTTCTCAAAGTCAATTACATAAACCTATGCTCGTTAAATAATTTACATTCATAAATAAACAAATTATCGGAAGATAAGACTACGGGACAGATAGGCTTAGGTGGATATTCTATCATAGATGGAAGCCAAGAATCATGAACTACATTGTGACTGATTGCACACCTGATTTCGTGTATGTGATAAGTGACAAACAACTTGTGGACATGCTATTTTTGGGTGGCCTTTTTATAGGTAAATATTAGCTTTAGTTTCCTAATACTAATCAAAATCAGTAACAATTTTTAATTTTCCGTTACGTGTTGTAAGGCCGTTAATTATTAGTTTATCGGGGTACAGTTATCTGAAGGGCATATTCCGAAGTAAATTGCTCCTAATACATTGCAGTATTTGTGCAGCGTTTTTCAGCAAAAATAGTAAATCACGAAATTGCGAACAATTCAAAGAGAACTATGCTTATCTCTTACTAGGATATTGTGATATGGTTGTTTGTGAAATCTAAGTTGCGTGATAATGAGCACTACTCTGAGGCTGTTTAGAGATCTGTAATTTTAACATGGTTGCCAGTTGGTTCCTCTTTTCTTGAAGAAGGCGCGGAACGAAGACGTTTACAGACTATAAGTGGGGTAAATAATGCCCAGCTGTAGCACGCAGCCGTATCAAGGTTCGATAATTTTAAGCGTGCGACGCTTTTAGCTTATTTTTCAGGGGCCGATAATTTGATTTTATTTAAGTTCGAAAATCTTGCCGGTACTTCCAGGAATCTTACAGCTGCAGCTAGTAGGTCCTATTTCTAAATTTAGTGAGATGACTTGATTTTCTTATTTTGTAACTCAACGTTACTTGAAAAGTCAAATGACTTCTATTAGGGTCAACTATAAATTCGTAACTTGCTAAGAATTCTATTCTAAGTATTTCTGTACCTAAATATGCTACAGAAGAATCGCAAAGTACATATAAAACGTGTTTGGCATTTAAATTCATTACACGCAGTTCGCGCTATTTTAGACTCTGAGGCAATTCATCCGTATCTGAGATGTTTACTGTGTACTTTAACCCCAGTCCCCTTAGCTTCAAATGCCTAGTGTTATCCGCTTAGCAACTAAGCCCAGTTAGCCAATCAAGGGAATTATCACTTGAACCTAAAATCAAGTGTTAAAGTTTTCTGGTCAAACTTCGTCATTTCAATTTATTAATAACTTTAAGCGTCATCCCGTCTCGGATTTATTCTGGAGAATGTTAATGAGAACCTCACCTTTTTCCACTAAAACGTTGGTGTCAGAATTCTTGTCTCTAACATCAAGAAAGCAACTGTTTATGAATCATTCCTCAAGTCATTATAAGTGAAAATCATATTTGAAATAATCTCAGCGATTGAAGTTTAAATAATCCCACCGTTTTGTCCAGCAGACTTGTTTAGAGTAATAATCGAAATCCTCAATACCGCGATCTGCAGAAGGTTGTTAGTTTCCATATTTTTTGGTTTCTGTTTTGGCCAAGTGTGCGATTGAATGTATCTGGTTGATTTAGCACTGAATTTCTATTAGTATCAACAAAACTGCCCAGATTGTTTAAATTTCGTAAAATGTTCTGCATTCTTGACCATTGTAGTTGAAATGACTGTTTTATATGTTTATTTCGTATTTGGGTAATAGCCTCTGTGAAACTTTCGACTCTTGAATTAAGTCCATGTGGTGTTTGTATGAACTAATGGTTCCTTTGTACCTGATTACTGTCTGATTTCGAATTCCAAATACAATACGTTTGTTTGTGCTCACGTAGTTCTACTTGTCATAGATTGCTCTATTTCGGGATTCCTAGTTAGTATATTAATTAGAATACTTCTAATCATCATATTGGCTTCGCGATGGAGTCTGTGATGGAACAGCAGGGCATACATTCAAATTCTCACGCTTCTGAGGATTATACGGAAAGGTTCGGGTTTGAACCGTGACCAAAGATGTTAAGGACGTTAATATAGTGGCTCAGTTTCTTACATTCATCGGAAAAGATCTTACTTATTTACGCCTGTTACTCCTCATAGAGGAGCATAGGCCGGTCACCAGAACTCTTCATTCAACCTTGTCCAAATCAATCCTTTCCAGTTGTTATTCATTTTTTTCATATCTGGTTCCATTTCTCGACGTAATGTGTTATTTCGCCTTCCTCTTTTACGCTTTCCTTCACGGCCCCAAGTTAGCGCTTGTCTCGTGATGCAGTTTGATGATTTGCGTAATGTATGTCCTATCAATTTCCATCGTCCTTTCCTAATTTCCTCTTCAGCTAGAAGCTGGTGTGTTCTCCCCCACAGAAGGCTGTTGCTGATGGCATCCGGCCAATGGATGTTGGGTATCTTGCGTAGACAGCTATTTATAAATACTCATACCTTCTTGATGATGGTTGTTGTAGTTCTCCAAGTTTCAGCTCCATACAGTAGAACTGTCTTGACATTCGTATTGAAGATTCTCACTTTGATATTGGTTGAAAGTTGTTTTGAGTTCCATATGTTCTTCAACTGTAGGAATGCTGTCCTTGATTTGCCAATCCTCGCCTTTACGACTGCATCTAACCCTCCTTGTTCATAGATCATGCTTCCCAGGTATGCAAAGGATTCTACATCTTCCAGAGTTTCGCCATCAAGAGTGATTGGATTGCTGTTCTCCGCTTTGAATTTGAGGACCTTGGTTTTCCCCTTTGTGTATGCTGAGGCCTACTGATGCAGAGACTGCTGCTACACTGGCTGTCTTCATCTGCATTTGTTCATGTGTATGCGATAGGAGATCTAGGTCACCTGCGAAGTCCGAATCATTTAATTGATTCTGAGCTGTCCATTGCATTCCGTGCTTTCTCACAAATGTAGAGGTCTTCATAATCCAGTCGACCATCAGAAGCAAGAGGATGGGAGAAAGTAAAACAGCCTTGTCTGACACCGGTCCTTACTTGGATTGCATCCGTCAGCTGTCCTCCATGCACGACTTTGCATTTTAGTCCGTCGTATGAGTTCCAGATAATATTGACAATCTTCTCAGGAACTCTGTAGTGCCGGAGAAGTTTCCATAATGTTCACCTATCTGAGATGGTGGAGAAGATTTGTAGCTCAGATGGATGACTTTGATGGAGTTTTGTTCTCTGAGCTCCACGACCAAACCATGCAGCTCAAAGAACAAAACCCCATCAAAAAGGTCCCCCATCTACACGGTCAAACGCTTTTTCGTAATCAGTGAAGTAGATGTGCAGTGACGAGTTCCACTCAACTGATTGTTCGAAGATGATCTGTAATGTCGCAATTCGGTCTGTGCATGACCGATCCTTACGGAATCCAGCTTTTTGGTCTCAAAGTTCGGCGTCTACTGCGTCTTTTACCCGGTTCAGCAACACTCTGGTACAGACAATAGTGTGATGCTTCTGTAGTTTCCACATTTGCTTAGATCTCCTGTCTTTGGAATCTTGATGAGGTGTCCTTCTTTCCAGTCCATCGGCACTTGTTACTCTTCCAAAATCTTCTTGAATAGAAAATGAAGCATTTTTGTAGTTACTTCGATGTCTGACTTCAGTGCTTCAGCTGGTATATTGTCAGGTCCTGCTGCTTTCTTGTACTTGATGTATCTGATAGCCATTCTGGTTTCTTCCGTCGTTGGTGGATTGACATCTATAGGAAGATCTGTGTATGCTGCTTCGATGTCCGGTGGATTCAATGGCTGGCCCATTCAAAAGTTCTTCATGTAATAACGAAAACACTTCTAATTATCACGGTCCAGATGTAACAAAGCTTTCCGAAGACTTTACTTAGTATGTGATATGCTATGGGCAATCTTATGGCGGGGACTTTACTTCTCATTTCCATCTATAATTGGTGCCTCACCCACGAAATTGCTGTCAACCAAAATTCGAAGACGTGAAATTTATCGTAGTACAGTCTTTGAATCCTTTTACGATCCGAAAGAAATAAATGGCTCGCCACTCGACACTTGATATTACATTGTATGAACAAACTGGGATAAGAAATGAAGTCACCGAGTTTGTTAGGAATTGATGAGAGGGATATAAAACGCAAATCTACATATCAAAACTCCTATGGTTAAATGTTGTTATGATTGAATAGATTCACAGTTAAGCGAATCACATTTCATGGTCACTCTGATCGGTTTCTGGTTTTCTTGATTTATGGTTCATAGATCTGTCCATCATCGGTAGTTCAATAACCCTGGTCTAACAGATAAAATACAGTAGTTTTTTTCCTAC